ACTATTTAAATAAAACTCTCTAAATAACTTTAAACTATCTATATATTTTAATACCTTCTATTATTAAATAATAAAATTTCTAATTTAAAATTATTAACTTTATTTTATTCTTATAATTAATAAATTATTTAATTACTTATTTCTAATATAAAAAAACTAAATAAAATAAAGCTTATTAATAATTATAATATATTAAAATTTTATTAAAAAAATCTTTAATAATCCCTTATTTAATTATTTTTATACTTTATTAAACTTTTAATTTAATAAAAAGGAATATAAATTATATTTACTTATTTATTTATTTTAATCTTCCCTCTTTTATATTATAATATTATATTTATATATCTTTATTTAATATAATATATTTATTTTATTTAATTTTATTAATAATTTTAAAACTTATAAAATTTTATTATAATATATAAAAACTTTAACCTTTAATAACATTTTACTTTATTTAAATTTAATATTTATTTATTTACTTACTAACCTTAATCCTTATTTTTATTATTTTTTTATTACCCTTATTTTTTATTATACTTTTAAAATTTATTAAATTTCTTTTATTATTCTTTTATTATCTCCTTTATATATTTTATTTAATTAATTACTTTTTTAAAGTTATTTTAATTAAAATTTAATATATTAATTTTATAAAAAATATTAATTTATAAAACTATTAAAATTAAAAACTAAATAAAAAAAAGAATTATACTATTATAACTTATTTAATAATATATTTATATATATATATATTAAAGTTTTATAATTATACTTATAACCTAAATTTATATAATAAATATAGTTTATATAAGTTTTACTTATTATTATAAAATAAAAATATAATAAAAAAGAATAATTAATATAAAATAGAATTACCTTACTATATCTATTTCTATAAATATAAATAGTTAATATATAATAATAAATATAATAAAAGTAAAAACTATATTTTAATAACCTTATAATATAACTAATAGTAATTAATATTACTATAAATAAATAAATATTTACTAAAAATACTTTTAAAAATAAAATCTAATATAATATATAAAAATATCTTATATAAATTAATTAATATAAAAATAATAAACTTATTAATATTATAAAAATATTATTTATTAATTTAAATAACTTATTAATATTATTTAACTTTTAAATATAATAAAAATAAATTCCCTACTTATATTTATAATATAAATAAAAATAACTTAATTTATAATCTATTAATTAATTATCTAAATACCTATATTATTTTTAATAAATAACTCCCTTTATAAACTAAATATATTTAACATTAATATTAAACCTAACTAATTATTAAAAGCTTAAATAAATAACCTTATATTTAACTTATTTATTAATATTACTAAAAATATAATAAAGGGTTTATAAAAATAAAGTTATAAAATTAAAATTATTACTATAAAAAAGAAAAAAGAAATTAAAAGTTATATAAAAGAAAAAAAGTTTAAATAATAATTAAAAGTAATAAAAGCTATAAAAGAAAAGCTAATAATTTACTTAACCTTATTAATTACTTAAATAAATAACTACTTAAAATAAACTAATAATAATTCCAACTATTTATAAATTAATAACTTAAAATATAACTCTTAACTTAATATAACTAACTTTAACTTTCTTCCTTCTAATAACTATTTTATAAAAGAGGTTATAAAAGTCTTTTAATAACTATTAATAATAAAACCTAAATAACTTCTCCTTCTAAATATTAAATAAAAAAAAATTTAATTACTTTTTATTACTATTAAGTATATTTAACTTTAATTACTATAATAAAAAGCTTTAATTACTTATAACCCTTTTTACTAATAACTTTTATAATACTCCTCTCCTTTTTAATTAACTATATAATATTCCCTAAGGTTATAAGCTCCTTTTTATATATAAAACCCCTTTTTATTATCTAAATTTATCTATCTTACTATTTAATATACTACTATTAAATAGACTTTTAACCCTTTTATTAAACTATATATTAACTTAAAATTACTTTAATATAATATTTTAAAAAATAATAAAATAAAATAACTTATATATTCTTTTATATTTACTTAAATAATAATAAAATTCTAAAAAGACTTAAATATTATATAATTAATTTAATAAAATTCTATATTTAATTAAACTTATTAAAGAATATCCTCCTTCTTTATATAAATATAACCTTAAAGCTTTAAATAAAGTATATTATTAACTACTTTTTTAATCTATTAATAAAAATAAATATAAAAATAAAGTCTATAATATTTACTTAATAAAATACCTTATACTTCTTTATAAGTTAAAAGGATTTATTTTAAATAATTAAAACTAATTAATATCTATATTTAAGCTAAAATAGGCTTTTTAATTAATATTTATAAAATATAATCTATATTATTAATATTATAATTAAACTTATTAATAAAGAAAAAAATATAATAATTAAAAATATAATATTTAACTTAAAAATAAATAGTTAATTACTTTTATTATTTATATAACTATTAATAAGTATTATATACTCTATTAAATTAATTATAAATTTAAAAGATTTTATAATTAATTTAAATTATAAAAGTTATAAAAGCCTTTTAATAATTACTATATATAATTAAATAACTCTATTTATATATATTTAAATAAAGGGATTATAAGGTATTTACTTTTAATATAATATATCTATTAAATATTATATAATTTTAAAAGTATTTAATAGTAACCTTTATATTATTAATAATTTTAAATATTTCTCTTTAAAATTAAAAATTATTCTACTTAAAGGCTCTTATAAATATATAAATTAAATAAAAACCTTTTATTTATAATAAACTTTATTTAAAATATAAAAATAAAAGAAAATATAATAAAAATATAATAGTTATAGTTATTTAAATAAAACTTAAAAGTAAAGGTTATTAACTTTATTAATCTAAAAACTATAAGTTTTAAATAAAGTAAATACTATAAAAAATAACACCTTTAAAATAAAAGCTATTTTTATACCTAATTACAAATTAATCCCTTAATCTAACTTACCTATCTTTAAGCTCTCTATTAAAGATAAAATTAATCTATTTAGTTATAAAAATATTTAATTTTAATTATAACTATATATTACTTTATAATTAACTAATAACCTAAATCCTATTAAAAACTTAAAATATTATTAAAACTCTAATCTATATAATTATTAAACTTACTAACTTATCTTTTATTTTAAAATAAATTCTCTAAAAATTCTACTACTAAATATACTTATATAAAGCTCTATAATAAAAGTAAAAGATTAATACTTCTAAATATTACTTATATATATAAAAATATTTCTTTAAGTTAGATAACTTTTATAAAAACTATATATAAAAATAAATACTTACTATATATCTTTAAAATATAAAATATTATCCCTTTTATTACTAATAATAATAATAATAATTAACCTATATAATCTTTATAATTTTAAACTAACTAATACTACCTCTATTATAATAATTAATATTAATTCATTATTAACTTAATTACCCTATTAGTTATTTTCTTTAACTATAAAAGTTATAAATACTACCTCTACCTAAGTATTCTAGCTTTACTTATAACTAAAATAAAAGTATAATATTTATTAATAAATAAATTATAATATTAACTTTTAAAAATAAATTTATATAAAAGCTAAAAAAACTAAAATATAAAATATAATTTAAAGAACTAAATAAAACTTATAAAAATAATAAAGTATTTTATAACTTTTAATATATTAATTTTATTCTTAAAACCCAACTTTATTCATTTTTATACCTATATTATAATATTTTTAATATTTTTTTAATATTTTTAATCTATATAAATATTAAACCTATATTATTACCTATATACTTAAATATATATATATTAATAAAAATATAAGTTAATAAGGGTTTTTATACTTATAAATACTTTATATAAAAAATATCTACCTACCCCTCTTTTAAGTAATTAAAAGAATTTAATCCTTCTTTATTTCTCTTTTAAATATATCTAAATTAAGAGATTTTTACTATCTCCCTTTACCCCATATAGGCGCTTCCTTGGGCCTGTAGTCGGGCGCTTGACTAGCCCACTTACACTCTGATTTAATATATACTCTCTGACTGCGCCTGGCTTGCTGTATTCAAACTAAATCCACAGATGAAAGAGTCCCCTTTAGGAGATTACGGTTGCTCCATTACCACAGGGTGGTTGTTTTATTTAGATGAATGCTTTATATATATGTCCTTCATAATGTCCAAATTACAAGCGCAGCTATTGAAGACATGAAGATACTCCCCGAAAATACCCATAAGATGTTGTTTACAGGGTCTGAAATACCTGCGGCTTTGAGGAACTCGAAAAGAACACTTGATATCCCGGATGCCAGTATTTGAGGAGACGATATAAAGGTATTGTGAGCACCGAGAAGAAGGCCTGTGCGGGAGTCCAGCGCGGATAGTCTCCTGTTGTCCTCGATTCGAATCACCTCCTCGTTGGCCAAGACGAAGGGCACCCACTGCGTCACAAACCAACACACGCCGGAAATGGCGATTCCCAGCGTCGCAAGGGTCGCAGACCTGAAGAAGGTCATGCACAACAGGATTGAGAACAGAACCTGAGACGTGACCCACATCATCCTGAGAACCCATGATTCCAAGCTGGAGTGGTCATGTACATGGGAACCCAGAAGTTTGTACTTCGATGGGGCTGAACACAGCCGTTTCACAACAGGGGGCAATGTGGCTGACATCACGAGCGCGACGCATGCTTGGTCGAAGAGTGCGGAAGCACCTAATGATTGGCATCTGCTATCCTCGCGTTGTGTTGTCATTTGCGACGCACAACCTGTGACTATGGTTAGTTTTTCGATGGCAAGGATGTATGATACGGTGCAGCTTACTCAAAGTATTTATAAATCTGTATAGGTATTAGCATCCATTCTTGTATACATATTGAATTCTGACATGGGTGAGTACATGTACCTACCCTGTAGTCTGCACGAGAACGGGGAACCACGCGAACCATGAGAAAAACTGCGCAACATATATGCGGCGCAGATGCGGAGACAACATCTTCCACGTGTCCAGTAGACCTTCCCTCACCTCGGGCGGGGCAGGTCGCTTCTCCCTTCCTTCTGACACGACGCAGCAAGTGACGCCCGTAGAGCTCACGATAACAATGATGCTCAAGTTCACCAAGGACTGGAGCTGGTTTGTTCTGACGGGGAACTCCCCCGCCAAGTCGCTTGCAGCGGCGAAGTATGACGCCATGCTCGCGACGAAGCTGATCCGGCTGGCCCAGGCAGTCGCCTGGGCCTGCTGGCTTGCAGTACACTTATCGACCACGAGCGCGCGGAGGCCCGACTGTACCGGCTGGATGGCAATATTCAACAGTAGGAAAAAGAATGAGACAGAAACCTGCGACAGAACCGCCGATGACGACTTGCCGCCCCTCGCACCTGGCAACAGGGCTACAAGGTCGGGGCTCCAGGCATACCCTAGAAGTGCGACGACAATGGCGAGGCTGCCGGCGACTATGAATGGTTTACGCCTGCCACAAGCGTCGCTCCATCTGCCGAAAAGTGGCTGGAGAAAGGAGCCACATGTCGGGGGTATTAGCCAGATGAGCATAGCTGCGCCCTGGCTCATGCCCAGGGATCGAAAGTAGGACTGAACATCATGGTTAGCACGCGTCACAAGAGAGGATAGACAAAGTAACGGACAATACCGCTTGCGAATTGTATCGAGAAAGCAACTTGGACCCTTTGCATTTCGTCAGTGTCAGCTAAGCCGCGGATCTTGGAGTCGGGACTGACCCAGCCATGCCCAGAACAAGACAGATTATGTAAGACCGGCTGCGCCTCTGCTCCTCGACATCATCACCAAGAAGTGACTGCAAGTCTGTTGCGGCGGCAGCCAGCTCTGGGAGCTCTAGACTCGCTGAGTGGTTGCTCTCAATACTACTAGAACGAGGCATGGCTGATTGAGTTCTGGTATTAGCCATCGTAGCGAAAAGAGGCCATGTACGTGAATGTTACATGGCGAAGAGCCCTATTGATCATAAAGACTGGTCATGGATCAAACAAGTCGTTCTCAAATGGAGCCTCGGCAGTACTGGGATGGACGTCCGGTCACATCACGCCAGGCACTTGCGGCAATCTCCACCAACTACAGCCCATGATCAGATGCGATCAAAAGATGCCGTAGGGCTGAAGAGTGCCTCTGGTTGTGCGAATGAGGTATCGGAGGAGATTAGAAAATTGGATGGCCTGGCATCTCGTGATTGGAGCGCACATGTCTCAGTGTACAGAGTCCGAATTTTCCGAACTACCGAATTTCCGTGGCATAATATTCATGATGTACACAGGGTAGTAGATCGTGCAAATTACTCCATAGCTGCCAAAATACTGCCTTTGTCAGTTGCGCCTCCTTTCATTGCACTTCTTTTTCTGTCATTTTTGAACACGCATTTGTTTGAACACGGATTTTCTTGAACACGCCCCGTGCAATCTACAGTCTCCAAAAAGTGCAATCCTTACCTGAACATCTTCGGCTTGACAATAAACAATGGCTCCGTTGTTAGACAAGAGTCCCTACGAGCCGGTGAAGGACTCAGAAGAGTTTGAGGCTGAGAACAGGGCCCGGTTCACTCAGCCATCCTACGAAAGGCCTTACCGTCGACTTCGAATTATCAATGTCTTCTTGATCTTCGCCTTGGTTCTTGCCGTGACCTACGCAGCGTATGTGCGACTCCATCCGCATAGCAACACTGGGAATGTTCCCCTGCTCGGATCAGACCCGTTTGGATTCATACCTCCAGGTAAGCCAGGACAAGCAATATGAGTGTCTAGTTGCAAACACACACTAAAGCATTTCTGGTGCAAAGAAATTGGCGAACCCAAGGAATGGATGTATTTCGACGAGTCTGACCCCTACTTCATCCCGTATGACATTTTCGACGACGTTGAAAGAGTAGAAGCGATTGTTGAGAAGCTCATAGAGTTGGACCACCGTGAGTGCTACCGATCAGAGTCTTTGCCCTGAAGCTTGGAACTAACAGTAACTCCTCAGCCGGAATTCTGTCTCACGGAAAGAAAACCACGTACATGGGCTTCGATAAACAAGTCCACGAACTTCCTCAACAGCCCGCATACCGTCACAATCTAACCGAGGAATTCCCCGTGTATTTCACTCGCGCGTTCCACCAAATGCATTGCATCGTAGGAAACAATCCCAACCCCCCCCCTCCCATTGGGTCCTTGAAACCCCAGGTTCGATTCACATTGCTAACATAGCACTTCTCCTTTGAACCAGATCCTTATTACCGACTCGTATGGCCATGTGATCCACGGGCAGGAGAGCAGATGGGATAGCGAACACATTGCTCACTGCGTAAACGTCCTCCGTGAGGCGGTCTCGTGCTTTGCCGATGCGTCGGTCGCATCTTTCACTGGCCCTGAAGACCACCACATCGCGATGGACCAGAGGTCATACTGCCGTAACTACATGGCACTGCGCCAGTGGGCGGACGACCCGGCGAATGCGGCTCGCTATGATATTGTTGAAAACATGCTTCCTCAGGAACTGAAGAAGTATAGCAGCTAGAAGCCTATTAATCTGAGCTTCACCTTGGGCAAGATGCGATGGGCAAGCATTAATGGTGACAGGGATTATGTATGGCGCTGGAATTTTGACAACTAGGGCTGCCTTCCACGAGGCATAGACTAAATCCGACGTCTTACCGTCTAGACAGCTTGCACTGGGGTGTGGGAGAAGTTGTTGGGTCAATGCTTTAAATTGAGCCAGTTCTCCGTCAAATTGATTCTACTTCTAACCTTTATTCTGAAGCTTTCAAATTGCTACATTACATCAAACACGGCAAAGGCGCCCGCGGAGTCACAGGCTGTGCCTAGCATAATACAAACTTTGGGGCTCAGACGCCATCTTTAGTAACCACGTCTTTAGTAGTATAATTCGTGATATGTATAAATGCTTTGCTAGAGTCAAGGTTTCCTCTGCAGAGGTGTTCAAATAGAGCGCTGTGGTACGTTGCTATAAGAGTTTTCTCGACGTAAGAATCAACACTTCTTAAAGTAGCCCACCTACATTCGGACCACCCCCTAATTTAAACCATTTTATTATAGTTAAAGACTTAGTTATAATATTATTAATATTAAATTAATGAATATTAAACTTATATTAGAATTAATATATATTATTAGTAATAAATATTAATTATTTTAAAATTTAAATTTTAAAATTAAGTTAATATTTTTAAGTTAATTAATAATACTTATATTATTTAAAAAGATATACTTCTTTTATAAAATATATAAGAAATTAGAATTAAAACTTATTTAAAGTACTTAAACTTAATATATATAAATATATAAAAGTTAACTATTTATATAACTTTAATATTATATTTTTTATTATTTAAAAGAATATTATATAATTATAATTTATTTATTAAATTAATATAAAACTATTTTATATTATTATTATTTATATTATACTTTTAAAACTTTTAATCTTTTTTAATAAGATTTAAATTAAATTAAATCTTTTAAATTTTAATATACTTGAAAAAATTATAATTACTTAATCCTTTTAAAAGTATATTAAATAGTTTAATTAATAATAACTTTTATAAAAATAAAAGTTATTATTATATAATTATAAATATTATTATTAATAGTTATGTATTTATTTATTTATTTATTTATAATAAAATAAGTTATTAAATAAAAGTTTTATTTTTAATTTTATATATATAAAATAAATATAATACTTTTATATAATATTAATTATTTAAATTTTAATAATTAAAAGAATATAATATAATAAATAATAAATATAATATAATATATAAATAAATTTTTAATAAAAACTATCTTTATATATATATATATAAAGATATTTAATAATAAAACTTTTATTTAATAAATATTATAATACTTTTTTAAAAAAATTTAAAATATATTACTTTTAAACTTTTATAATAAAATTATAAAATATTTTAAAATAAATTTAAAAATAATGTATAAAAGAATAAAAAGAATTACATAAGTTTTATTTTATTTTTATGTTTTATTATTAATAGTAATTTAATTTCTAATAATATATAAAAGTATAATAAAATTTAAAAGATAATTTATAATTTCTATAAAAGAATTATAATAATAAATATAAAAATATTAAAACTTTATATATAAACTTTTAATTAAATATAAAATATATAATTTAGTAAAAAAGTTTTATAATATAAAATAAAAATATAATATATTATAAATTAAAAGTATATATAGAAATAAAATAATTATTATTTATAATTTAATTTATAATTATTTAAAAATAAAGTTTTATTATTAAAATATATTATTAATAGTTAAAATAAATCTTATTTATTTTAATATTATAATATAATTAAAAGATTTATTTTAATAAAGTTAATATTTATAAAGGTTTTATATTAAATCTTTAAAAATATTAAAATATATTAAAGTTAAATTTAAATAAAATTAAAAATAAATAAAATTATAATAAAACAAATAAAAGTTAATTTAAATATTATAATAATAATTTTTATAATAATCTTTTTCAAAGAAATATTTATAATATATAATATTAAAAATAATAATATAATAATAATTTAATTACTTTTTAATTTTAAGTTTTAATATAATATTAAAATTTAATAAAATTTATTTATAAGTTAATATTTAATTAAAAACTTATTTTTATAAAATAATTATAAGTTTAATAAATATTAAAATATTAAAGTTATAAAAAATTATAATATAATTAACTTTAAAATTAAATATTTATATTTATTTAAATTTAAAATATATTTAAATATTATAATTTATAATATAACTTTCTATTAAATAATATTATATAATATATTTAATTTATTACTACTTAATAACTTTAGTTTCTAAGTTTCTTAATATAAATTTATACTTTATTTATTTAAGTATAAATCTTTAATATTATAAATTTTATATCTATAAACTATTCTAAACTAACTATTATTTATATATAAACTATATTACTCTTTTCTCTTAGAATCCAGTCTTTTCACATAGATGAATATAGACTACTATTATACATGATCTAGCTGGGCCAGTGGGCTTCAAGTAAACTAGGAAAGCATCCTCGGTAGCCTACCCCTTCGCCGCCCCAATGTTGTACACTAGCTTCTTCCCGCTGACCTTGCCCACCTTCAGTTCCTCTAACCCTTTCAAAACACCCTCGAGGCCGCCACCTCTGACATCCCGTGGATGAACCTTGAACTTGCCCTCCGCCAAAAGGCCTTCGGCTATTTTCCAGAAGGTTTGACCGAACTCATAGTCACCCGTATCCTCGGGAAAATCCTCGGGCCCCAGTTCTGGTTTGTTGAAGGATTTGCCAAAGATGGTCTGAGCGACCGTGAATTTTACGCACACATCCTTACGTGGGAAATGACAATAAAGCACGGCACTATACACTGGCTTCTTGCTGATCGTGTCTTCCGAGAGGGCATCCGCGCATATCCGTGCCGACTCTTCAGTCGAGATGCAGTCGAAGGCATAGTAAAGTCCATTCTGGGTGAGCTCTCGGATGTCGGAACCAACATTGGGACTCGCATAGTCGAATACTGCGTCAGCTCCCAGGTCACTGACCATGGCGAAGTTGTGAGGGGAGCATGTCGTGATGACACTGAGGCCGGACCTGGGAATAACCGTCTTCAGCATATGTGTTCACAAGCAGGGGAGGTGGGCTTCAAGGGAAGTCGCACAGTTTGGCAAACTGGATAGCCAAAGTTCCTGTCGCCGTACTGCCGCCGTATACTAGCAATGGTAGGCTGCTGCTGACCGCTTCGGTCGGCAGCGGAAGCTCAAGCCGTCGGAATAGACCTAGACCGACGGTCGAGATCCCAACACCCAGAGTAGCCGCCTCCTCGAAGCCCACACCTGCTGGGATCTTGAGAATGATTCCTTGCTTGGCCACGACATAATCGGCAAAGGAGCCTTCCTCAGGGCTGCCGATGTTACCGCCGTGTGCCCATCCGGCAACCCGATCGCCGACCCTGAGATTGGTCACTTTTGACCCGACCTTACGCACGGTGCCTGCAAAGTCGGATCCAGCGGTGCAACCTGCGGTTCCGGGCACAAAGCTGATGGTTTTCCAGTCCACTGGGTTCAACGATACTGCGACGGTTCTGACCATGACGCAGTCAGGGTGCAGCCGTGGTATTGGCGCGTCGAAAACGGCAGCCCTACCCCCTGGCTGGATCTTGATGACTTTCATCTTTAGCAAAGCAATGTAAGTGATAAGATTTCCTCTGAAGAAAACAGCTCAGGTCACGATAGGGACCTCCACAGCAAACCCCCACTGGCTCGATTCAACGAGTTTCGACAACCGCCGAACTTTTGCGAATAATTATTGCAGATTTCCAACGCTGGGTCTTTGAACGGTTGCCAATGTACCAAGGTGCCGTTTATTGCTTCGGAAGTATACGGAATAGAAACAAAACCAAGTATTACTGCAGAACCCGGCTGCCGATGAGTAACCTTTTCCTGGGATTGGGGCAATGATACAGGATTAGTTAGTCTGCTAGAGCCGTCCCTTCATTTGAAGCAGCTGCTAGGGTCTCTACAAATAATACAGGGAGATGTGAATTCATAGTTAAGACTACGATTTAGGCGTTCCGGCACACAGACTTCCTTCCCATTTCTCTTTGCTTCTGTCTTAACGTTCAAGCATGTTGCGAATCATTATGCTGCGTCATCTTGCCCTTGAACTTCGGTAATAGGCAATTCGGTAAATTCTTCGCTAGTAATACAGATGGATGGGGAAAAATTGGGGCCAGAGATGCTCTTGTCGGAGACTTTTAGCCGGCCGAGATTCTTCTCCACACCTGGGCATCCTATGGAGAGTCATGTCGTCTGACCCGCTTAGATGATTGCATGCACACGGCATTCCTGAACTCCTCTTGTTCTCAAAATAGCTATCAGAAAAATCTGCCAGCCCTTCTTCAGCTCTAAGCAGTTGTAATGCTCAAGTTCCATGAGCCTGTTGCTCTGCTTGCATTAGTGGAAAACAAGACAGTCAAGAATCGGTGCGCGCTCGAAGATCTGATTCCTCTTCGTAGAGGTGATATCCTCTGCACTAGGCTTTCCGTTCAGATTGAGGCAGTGCCACATATGCTCGTCTTCAACGCAGTTTTCCGGTACTGCCTTGATCTCGTGCATTAACACCTTCCAGTTCTTCTCCATGACGTACGAGCAGTGAAGGTAGTGGAAGTTTCCCACGCCCCAGATTAAGTCCCAGTCTCCCTCCAGCCCATAGTCCATCCCGACCGGCTCAGTCTCGTTGGGCCCGGAATAGAGCGTGATGTTCAGCGTCTTCCACTCCTCAAGGTACCTGTCGTACATCTCCTGGTCCAGGCACGCGGGGTGTATCCAGCCCCCAAGAATGAAGTCAAAGACGCATCCCTTTGCGCGCGCCTGTGCTGGCGATGCTCCACACGATCCTAGGTTCTTCGGTTCCGGTAGAGGCTTGTAGGAGTTTCTCGCCCCGAGGTAGAACGCACCTCCGGCGAGGCACGGAAGCAGGATGAGCATCGCCAGGGCGAGCGCGCAAAGAGGCACAGATCTGCCAGTTTTGCGCCTCTGAGTGGTTATTGGATGCGGAGACCAGGCGGGCGCCCCTTTCTCAGGGAATTGTTGAAAGTGGGAGCCGTCATCAGATGGACGTTCCTCGGAAAGGAGTAGCCTTGCTTCCTCTGCCATAGCTTCGACGCTTATCAAGAAAACCAGAGAATGGATCAGGCCGAGTTTAGAGCGCAAACAAAAAAGAAGACTCTGCGATGAATGTAAAGAATCGCCGCGATAAGTGCGTATGTTTCCTCGCTCGAGCGCGGGGATCTGTCAATGTTGTATCAAGGCGTGTGATTTCCGATCCATCGCGGCACAACTTTGGTGGAAAATGACCCAACTATTCTCCAAATATACCACGAGGAGAGAAATCCAAGAGTTAGACACAGCGGTTCGTAGACACCCCACTCAGACTAATGTGGATGAGGCAACCAGGTATTGCAACCGACATTGCGCCGCGACTTCTTACATTGGTAATTACTCAAAGGTCCGAGCTATCCGAAAGTTTTTGAACGGCCCAATACGACTCTCGGCAATAGAACATCAAGGTGTCTGTTGATTGAAATCTTGTGCAGAACTCAGTTGTAGTTGAAGTCCACCAGTCATCCAGCCTGCAGTACCTATCTCTTCGGAAATACTAATTCGCTTACCCGATTCCCTTACCTAACTGCTGTATCAACTTCACTGCTATAACTCCCAAAATTTGGATGGGACAATTTTCTGGATGCAGCTGTTCAGCGGGAAGTTTTACGAGTCTACCGACCACGAATCCGAGTAAAACGGCTATTCGGCAAGGCTGTTTCCCCAACCTCCTTGAGTCACGGACGTCAGTTGTGGGCTTCTTTGATGCAGATCTTCTCACCGCAGATCTGGTACTGTATTAAAGTTTCGGACCCTGCTTCGGTGCACCAGGCGGATCCGGTATGAAGTCGGAGCATTCGCTTTCTGAAACCCGCCCTCTATTTGGTTGGCTCGAGCAATGTTGTAATGAGGCGATGCTTCTTGACAGTCGGCGTTCAACCGAGTACAATTACATCTTGCCAAGGCCCCACCATACCGTGTCCCAGACGCTTGTCCCTACACACATCTGCTTTTTGCAGCAGTAGATACCACTGTGGAAACGCCAACTACCAGCACCAGAGACGGATAATCTTATTTCCCTATGTTCGACTTTCTCAAGAGTAAAGCCCGCCGGAGGTCTCCGCCTCATTCAGAGCGGCCCAACTACGCGCCCCTCCGCACAAGCACAGAAGAAGCGCGCTATGAAGAGAAGGTGTCGGGGGAGTCGATGCGGTTCCTGGTATGGGGATTGCTCCTAGCAGCCCTCGTCCTCTTTGTCGCGGTGTTCTCCCTCTCCGTCGTCAAAACAAGCAGCGCCGAGCCATACGCATACGAACGGTACGACCCACGGACCAGGAGATGCGGCGACTCGGCCACGGATGCCAAGAGGCTGGGGTGTCAATTCGACCCCACTACCTTCTCTTGGCTCCCTGAGGATTGCGTGGACCATGAGCTGGCGAGTGAGTTTCGGGCTCGGGAATGGACCTTGTACATGGACGAGAACAAGACGACAACGCGGACAGAGTCAGAGTGGTCGAATGATGCGGCCAACTCGCACCAGGCGTGGCTTACGAGCAAGGATAGTAGGCTCTACTGCGTTTTTTCGTGGAAGAGGATGCATCGGGCAATTATGTCGGGTAGGACTCTCCCTGAGGGACTGGGCTCATGGGCGAATACGGAGCATTGCGGCGAGACTCTAACGGCACATACACAGCCTGACGAGATTGCTTTGAGTGTTCATGTCAAGTTTCCGGCGTGTTAGGTGTAGGGATCGTTCCTTTGCCAAAGTGGAGTAACACTCGGGATTCCAGCCATGGCGAAATTTCAGGCCCACCAACCCTTCTAAAAGAAATCTAAAATTTCACACCCTCTACAGTAGGGCTGAAGATGTCTTAGGATAGTCACGTACTATATTATAAAACGCGTTTTTACGTCACACACACTTATAATTAAAAGCTTCTCTTTTATAATAATTATATGTTTTTAATAATATTTATTTTTTAAAAAAATAATTTTAAATGAAATATTTTATAATTTTAACTTTTTAATAATAATTTTAAAGAATATATTAAATATTTCTTATAATTAATATTTATTAAAATATATATATACTTTTTTTAAAATTTAATTATTTTTAAATAATTATTTATTTTATTTATTTTTATTCTTTTATTTTATTACTTTCTTTTATAAATATTTTATGAATTATTTATATTTTTAATTTTATTATTAAACTTAGAATAAATAATTAAAGTTTTTAAAAGTAGAATATAATATATCTTTTAAAATTAATTTAATTAAGTTTATTATATAAGATTTATTATAATTAAGTTATAATTATTTATAATATTATTTATTATTAAAAGATATGTTTTATATTAATATATTACGTTATATTTAATTCGTTTAAGTTAATATTATTAATTTTAATATAAATTAATCTATTAAAATTTAAAGTTATTATAAGTTATAAATAAGTTTAATATTAATTAAAACTATATAAGAGTATTAAATTTATTATATAATTTAAATATATTAGTTAGAAAAGAAAAAAGTTATTATTTTTAAAAGTTTTAACTTTACTTAAAGAAATATTTATTAATTAGTTTAATTATATTATAAATAATATTATTTAAAAGTAGTAGCTTAGCTTATTATACTTATTATTATAATTAAATATTTATTTTTAAAAGATTTTAAAGTTTATTAACTTATTAAATTAAAATATAATTAAAGAAAATAATTATACTTTATTATTATATAAAGTATTTAAGTTTATAATTTTAATAAGTTTATAGAAAAGAAATAATTTTTAATAATTAAATTTATAATTATATAAAAATAAAAATTTATTTTAAAAAGGATTATTATTAATATAAATTTAACTACTACTTATAAAAAGGACTACTTAATTGAAAGATTAGATTTTTAAATTCATACTTTAAAATCTAAGTAGTTTATAGTATTAATATAATATTATATAATATTAATCTCGCTAAGGTCCTTATAAAGCCTTTTTAGGCGCCCTAAAAGTGAATAAATATACTATAAGTAGTTTAAAAATTAAATAAAATAAGATAAATAAGTCTTTTTACTTTTTAATTATTTATTAAATAAAGGTTTCTTATATTTTAAATATTATTTTAAACCTGTTAAAACTTAAATAACTTTTTAATAAAAGGGTTTAAACTTTAAACTCTTACTATATAACTTTAAATTAATATAAATTTAACTATTATTTATAAAAAGAGTTACTTAATTAAAAGACTAAAATTTTAAGTTAATATTTTAAAATCTAAGTAGTTTATAATATTAATATAATCTCTTATAATAATTATTATTTAAAATAATTATTATATTTTTAAAGAATTTAAGAATTATAAGGAATTTAAAATTTATATAGTTTTACTTCTATTCTATATATATTTAAGGATATATATAGTGCCTTTATATAATAGTAAGTACTTAAAATCTAGTGTTTAAAAAGAATATAATGCTAATAATAATAGTTATAATATAATAGATATTTATAATTTTAACCTTATAATATATAGATAAGGTTAAAGGGTATTATCTTAATAATAGTATTAATTAAAATTATAAATAGAAGTAGCTTATAGTTTAATTATTATAAAGGAGTTATATAATAAAATTAAGTTTAAAAATAATTACTATATAAATAAATTATATTAAGGAAGCCTAACTAAAAATTATCCTTTTAAATATATATATATATATATATATATATATATATTACTAAAACCCTTATTAAATAAGTACTATAGCCTTTATCTAAGTATATAACTACTAACTTTAAAAGAAGTTAAAATAAAAAAATAATTTATAATATACTATTTTTAAGACTTTTATAATAAAGTATTAAAACTTTTAAAGAGAGTTTTAAAAGTAATTTATAAAAAGATAAAGAGAAGGTATAATAAGCTTATCTTCCTTTAAGTTTATACTTTTATTATTAGTAACTATTAACTCCTTAATAGTATAGAAAAATATAATAACAATAAAGGAAAGAGTGGATTTAAAGTTTCTCTTTAAGAGAACTATAAGGATGTATATAAAGTTATTAAAGACTTTATATGTGAGCTTTAGACTACTAGGGAAGAAATAAGTGGTTATATAGTATAAAGGAAAAATATAGTGTGGCTAAAGCTTTAAAATTTATAATACCTTTAAATTTTAACTTAAAGAATATAAGGTTTTAATTTACTTAAAAATAAAATACTTAAAGTATTTTAAAAAAAAGTTTAAATTAAATTAAATAAAGTTATAATAATATAATTTAATTAGATTTAAAATTAATTATAAAATTAAAGTTATAAAACTTTAATTATTTTAAATAATAAATTAATTTATAAACCCTTTTATTAAATTAATAAATAATAAATTAATATTTATTATTTTATTTATATATAATAAATAATTAAATAAAGTATTATATATTAATATAAATTAAAAATTTTATTTAAATAAATAATAAAGTATTAAATAATATTAATTAAATTTATTAATTAAACTTAATTTATATATAAATATATATAAACCTTTTAATATTTATATTAATTAATTTATTATAACTTATTATTTTTATAATAATTTTATTATTATATTATTATAATATATTAACTTTATATATATTAATATAAAATAAAATTATTATATTTATATTTTCTTCTTAACTTTAATAATAGTATTATATTTAATAAATTTACTTAGTCTACATTCTATTAAAACTCGTGACGGACACGGTTTCTATTCTAGTGTAAAGCGGCCCCGGGGGGGCTAGGGCCAACACACAAGAGACCGCCTCTTTCATACACAGTAGCGAAAGCTAAATCTCCAAATCCCCGGGTCTACCGGAGCCGCACGGGCCGGGCCATGGAGTGGATAACACCTGGCAGCCACTCGGGTCCTTGGTCTACCCGTCCCGCCGTTCAGTGGTTTGTTGCCCTTGCCCGCGACGAATCGCACAATGACGTTACCGGCCACTGCTGACTCGACGGCTTGCTTGTCTAACATCGCTCCCATGCTTAAAATCAACATGTACGGCGTGTTTCGCTAGATAGTATTAGGCCTAGAGACTCAACACAGGAATCTGATAACCTAGTAGTCATGGATACCCGAGCCTATAAGCGTCGCCCAGGCGCCTGTGAAGGATGCAAAACTCGTAAACTGAAATGTAGGTCTCGGGCTTTGACGCGCCATCGATTTCTCACATCAGCGCTGAAAGAAATGATCTAGGTGATGGACGAGAACCAACATGCCAAAAGTGCCAGGCAAGTCTAGGGCGGTCAGACTAGACAAACCTAAGCTGATGTGTGACAGGCAAGCGGGACCACGTGTCGTTACCTTCCCAGGAAGAAAAGAGGGAGGCCCTGTGAGTTTGAGCGATTGAGGGATTCTCTAACATAGTAACTGACTATCAAAGCTTCAACTTCGGTAGCGAGCAGCACGGCTGTCGAGACTCTGTCGCCAGTTGTCGTAAGCCCAGCGGGGCCGACAAACTCCATCAGCGACCACGGGATGCGCAGAGATGATGCAGATCGAATTTGGCTATCTCCTACGGTATTCGACGAAGACGGGGTTCTCGACGCTCCATTCCACTGGTCATATGGCTCTCTTGATCTGAACATGACGGATGGGCTGTTCCTTGGCGGGGATCACCTCGATCTGGGTCATGGCAGCGACGTATTTGAGCTCCTCCACCCGTCCCAACCCGTGTCAGAGAACGTCAGCCGCGCTGGACTTGGCGAACCTACTCCTCCTGATTACAATAATGAGCAAAGGGTTCCAGATCTGAAATCACAGCTTGCTGGACTCCATCTAGACAATGGTAAATTTTCTCTAACCCTGCTATCTGTCATGGTCTCAACCTGTCTAACACTCCTCGCAGACTTCGAGTTAGCGGAGTTCTCTGGAGCCAAGGTGTTAATCAAAATGTCCAATGTCAACTTAAGGAATGACTTCAATTCAGAACACATGGAAAGAATCATCGTGCACATACTTTCGCGTCTGGATCTTCCTCTCTTCAACTCTATGAATATGGACGCGGACATTGGCCAAGAAACTGATTTGGATCGCCTTCAATCTCATCTCAGAAGTAAGCATCGATTCCCCGACCAAGGCATCGCTCATGATCATTAGCTAAGCACAACACAGCTTTCATCGGACACCCGTACATGTAAGTGTTTACCACTTAATTCTAGAACTTGCTCGTCTACTGACTCTCGATAACAGGGGTGCCAATTACACTGACAAAGATACCCTCTTTCCTATTTTTGACGATGTTATAATGACCAAATCAGCCGATGCTGCCTCTGCAGCCTTGATGTACGGGGCAATTGCGACGGGCGCAAAACTTGAGCATCAACTTGGCGCGGATAAGTCCAGAAGGCCGTCCATCGCACAGCGGTATTTTGAGAAGGCTCTAGGGATACTCCCAAGGCTAGGGTCCAAATCCTCAGTTACCATTTTCAAAGTAGGCTCATCACGTTGCTTCAAATTATCTCAGAATCGAGAGCGCTAACGTCCGTGTTTAGGCTACTCTCGCTCTAGTAAGAAGTCAAATACTATCTTTTGGAGACTAGAGATACTAACAGAAGAGAAGCTTGCATATGCTATGCGTTGGAAGCCGGACCTGGTCCCCCGGCTTTTGGCGGACGGTACAGCGCACGTACAAGCTCTACGGCTCCACAGCCGGCGGTCTCTCAGTTCAATCTGCACTGATCCTCGAGACGAGAAACTACTCAAGCAAGGATTCTGGCTGTTTTACGCCATTGAGAAGCAGTACAATATGCGGATGGGTGGGTTCTCGGTAAGTCCCCGAAGATCCAGGGAGCGGCCCTGAGGTGGACAGTGTCCCGAGAGCTAATAAACCCCACAGACACTACCAGATGATCTTATCGATTACCCGCTGCCGAATGTGACCGAAAATTCAGATCCACACGGCAAAGACCTCGCCGTACAGTGCCTTTTCGGTCGCCTATGTTCCTACACAGTACAGAGGCTGCACGGAAGGGAGGCTAAGAACTCAAGTTACTTAGACTCCCGGGAGGAGTGTCTACGCCTGCTTGAAGCTTGGAAGGACCTCTCCATGAGTTTAAATAACCACGGTGGGCCGGAAGAACCGCTCAGAGTATTGTTCACACGAGTGCAGTACTTTGAGTTGCTCCTGTGCATTTATACCCAGGAAATTTCGAAGCCGGGAAAATTGGCGTCGTTGGAAAGTATCCAGGCCTCTATTTTGGGAGCTTCGCAAGAAATATTACGCTTGATGGGTGATATTGGCGATCCAGTCGTTGCTTCAGAGTGGTATGCTTAAACCGAACCCGATCCTACTGAAACATTTCCTGGCAATAGACTCTTTTGGCAAGCTAATATTAGGTTAGGGGACTTGTGAGAACGGTCATTATGGCGTTTTGTTGTTCGGCAAGCTTATTAAAGATGCTGAAGGAGAGGTCCGAGTTACTCAAATTCATGGGGGTAACCCTGGGTTACTTGGCGCGTCTCTCAATGGTCCTGGACTTTCCCTTTGAGAAATTGAATCTCGTCATGACGAAGGCTTTTCAATTGAACAGTAGGGAGGACCATGACTTTGAATGACTAGTACGGGGACAGGGTTGGCTATCAAGCCTCCGACTTGTGAGCGTGAGCTGCATTAGCATTGGAATAGCATAAACGGTGTTGGCGTTCGGCGGAACTTTAACTAGATAGACTCCGCAAAGAAAGTAGCCAAGACGAATGCATCGTCAATGTTTGTGACAGCGTATGTGACACAAGCGGTCCCGATCGCTTGACCAAATTGCATGTTGTCAAGAGACAAGAGCGACAGATTGAAAATAGTGCGTGAAGACGTCAAGGACGAGGGGCAGATTTCAGAAAGGTTCCAAGGTTAAGATCAAGGTGGTTGGGTTCACAAAAGGACTTGCGTTGCGGGGCTCAACTGCTCAGCGTCATCCTTCACACTCCAAACAAGCTGAGTTGCCAAAGGAGGCATATCATTTCGGAGGCGACAACAATGGTCGCGGTTCAGCCTCCATGTACCGGCCCGCGCAATAGCTCGCTACCTGGTTGATAGAGGCAACAGCCAGGTTGGGTCATAACCCCAACTGATGACCCGTCAAACGAGGGATCCATCATTTGTGGCACTCTAGCCTCTAGCTCGGCCGTCCAAGTTAGGTGGCACCTATCGTATTTTTACCACTGTTATCGACACGGTATGCTTTTTAAGACGCTGGGTCTTGAGCGTTTACCACTTCATGAACGCGCCATGTATGTCTTCGGAGGTATGTGGAATAGAAGCGAAACCAGCTAAGCAAGGTGGCCAGTCCACTGCCGCTCAACTCCTATTATACAACGTTGGGTCCACCTGTCCAACACTACCACGAAACGGTCGTAAGACTCGAGAGAGTTGCATGATGTAATTGCTGACATCGGATCATTGCCTAGTGACATGAAGCAAGAAAGTTAATTGGACGATGTGGCTTCAGCTTCTGCAGTGAATATCCGAAGAGAAACCAAACACAAGCGAAACTAGTTCTCTACAGGTACGGAATTTCCTGCTCCCAGCCATAGAATTGACCATCCGCGAGGACATTTGCCAACCTCCACGGCTGGACTTACTTCCGACCAAATCCGCCATTGCGCAACTTATTGTATCGATCATAACATCCACGTTCAGTCCGGTCGATTTGCTTCTGCTCTCCATTATTAGACGTAGTGCGGTATGAGATGATGATGACTACCAAGTTTGCTTACTGCGATTTGGGTGAATTGCATTCCCTGTCGCCTCAACTTCCACAATGCCACTTCTTCTTCACGAGTCCATTGCTGACCTCGTTTCTGCCCCTCAATGTTAGTCAAGCGCTGGTGACCAATACGGACATTACGTGATGATACCTTGGACCAAGGTCTCGATTTCCCGTGCAGGCCGGTACGGTTTGGTTTATTCACGGGTCGGAACCCGAGGATAGGGAGCTCAGGAACATTCTGAGAGAAACTAAGGTCAGTGCTAATCGGAATGTTGTGAGAAATCCCGTAACTGAATTACCTCGCTTTCTGGGGCAGGCTCATCCATGAATGGAAGAATGCATAGCGAAATGCAGTTCTCGTGGTTCTCCCTCAGAAATCGCTTGGCATGGTCTCTAGCACGTTGCAGCTCAGCCTCCTCCTCAGCCGCACTGAGACTGGTGCGAACGTCTCCGCAACCAGGTGTCGAGCATTCGAAGTCGGGATGGCTGACTTCGCTCTTGGTCATGAGTCGGGTGGTCGAGCCACAAACGTCTTCTGGAGGGCAGTGGCCGCAACACACGTCATCCGAATAGATGACTTCCTCGCCCAGTCCACTCGGCTCCTCACAACCAGGACATAGGGGAATTATGTGGAAGCACATGGCGTTGACAAGGCATGGCACCGTCGACGATGTGCTTAGTGTTCTCAGACAGCCTGTGATTGTGGTGACCACTTCGCATAATCAAGTTCGCCTAGAGTGGCGATGAGTTCAATCTTCCAACTAGGACAGATTATTGTACGCAGTCCCGGTCGACTTATGAGCACAGTCATGGGAACAGCAGAACCTATCGGGCCGGTGATGTGGAATGCTAAAAGTTTGGTTTGCTATGCAATGACGATTCCTTGTCCCCCTCCTCGTTGTCTGTAAGGCTGCATTTGACAGCATTCTTTATGGCCCTTGTCACGCTGTCTTTCAGTTGCGGACACCCAAAGCAATAGGGTGATGATGAAGTGAAATAAACAATTTGGGCTTGGATCTCTGAGCTTTGTGTCAAAGTGTTCTCCACATAGGTGAGCATCATCACAAACCGTCAATAAAATCTTTTGAGTTGAAGTCATTGAAAAAAAAGGAGGAAAAAAAGAAAGAAAGAAGGGGCGAAGCCACCGAAAGGGTGGGTCTTCCCGTACGAATCAGCGACATTTGGGCCCGAGAGCCCTGGAGAGCGGCGAATCCACATCACCTCGACAGGTTCCTCTCAATAACAGGGCGCTCGGGGGATTGCACTGCCAAGTGGCATGATGTCTTGGCTTCTCCATTTCTCACTCCACTGAACGCCGCAATGCGCCCTTGGCTGTGGGTTCTGAGGTAATGAGGCTGAAGCATTGCTCAACGTCCCGCGTACCAACACAGTTTTCTACTAATGCGCCTACCCCGTTTTCTTTTAACTATAGTACTCCCTCCACGTGAATAGCGAACAAATTTGATGACATGAAAACAGGGTTAGTCGATTGCGACCGTGTCTCAGAACTGGTCGCGATGTACATCAATGCAAGGATTTCCGGGCTCAGTACAGCAGTACAGCAGTACAGAATGAGCAAGGTCAGGTCGTCTCCTGAAGAGCTGAACAACACCATGACTGCGCATCCTAGTGGCCTAAAGCCACAATTAGCGAGTTTTCCGTGCTCTATTGCTTCGTGATCCATGTCTATCCGGATTGGCCGGTGGAATCTTCAGTCTCTGGACATGAGAACTCTGGGCCCATATGTATGAATGCTGCCGGGCTCCCAGGACCTCCCGTGAACGACTGCGGGCGCCACAGGCGAGGTCGGGTGAGATAAATGGGGAGGGAGTTTATTCGGGAGAAATCTTGAGTCATCTGCTTTGCATCTGTCGTCACTCGTCACCTTCGTAGTTGATGACACTCAGCTGGACGACCGTCAACTGGTTGTCCCCTCTCTTTCGAGATGCGAACAGCCCCAAACAATGGCCGCTTTAGCACCGTTAGCTGGTCCTAAAACTGAAGCTTGCTATATACGGAAAAGACGACGAGGGTTTATATACTGAGTCTTGCTCGAGCTTATTGAAGTCTATTTCCCTAGCCCAACGCCGACGGCTCAACGGTGCATGGGAGAACCTTGCCCAACGGCCCCGCAATCCGGGCCGTGGGGGGCGGAGTTTAACCTAATCTCGAACCCCACAACAGACGTCACACCAGCTTGATGACCGACATGTTCACGACATCCATTCCTCCCGAGGCGTGTCCGTCCCATGTCGGTAGTGTGCATCCCCGCAATATGGGCACCTCGAGCCTGAGGCCGTTGCTCTTAGTAAAGAGTCGAGACCAAATTGCATCCTTAGTCTCCTCGTTGTTGACGCGTCGCTGGAGTGTTCGCTGATTTTGGGTGCGTAGTGATATTTTCATCGTAGTCTCCGCCTCCGAAGAAACTCCAGAGAAACTCCAGGCTTGGCTCCGGATGAGCCGACCTGCTCGGCCACCACCCGACAGGCTGGAGACTCCTCCTGATTTCCCAAGGATCCGGTCAACAAGTTAACCTTCCATCACTGACAAAACTGCACAGACAGGGCTGAGAACTTATGTAACCGACTCTGTCAGGGACATTGTCTTTCATGCAATTTAGCCCGCACGCGACTTCAACGAGTTCTACATCAGCACACAATATTTTTCAGGCCGTGATATGTGCTCATGATCTTGCCCGGTCTGGCCCGGCACCGCACTTAAAGTTCATCGTGCGGGGCGCCCCTGTCGGACCGATACCACTCTCACCATGTCATCATCGGCGGAGGCGTCTTGGAAGAGCTGCAAGATTTTGTTCCAAGGCTTGGTCTAGTGAGGACCCAAGATGCAAGTCAGGTGTTCGTCTGTTTTTTCCCTGCATCCCCACGCCAATCCTGCCATTAACGTCTCAACCCGCCCCTCAAACCGGGGCGCCGGGTCTGGATGCCACCCTCGTGCCGCGAAGTCGTCTGTTCATGCTACGTCAATGGCCAGTCTCTTAGCTCGTGCAGCCCTAGTACTGGCTTCACCTGATGCTGATTTGACCGTCATATGCAGGTGGCGTGAGACGTTCACTCAGCTGTAGGCATACAACTTCCAAGGTTAGTAGTCATATAGTATTAATAAAGAGCCAGCTCTCGCAGCTCAGGACCACTCGCCATGCCCGCCAGGTACCTCTTCAATCAGCTGTATCCCCTCAGTCTCCGACGAAGCTGACTCATCGCTATGAAGTCTACCGTGGGAATAGCTTCATCGGTTTTGGCAGCCGCCTGTGCTTCTGCACAAGGTGTGCCCACCTACGTCAACCCTGCAGTGCCAACCGGGACACCGATTCCGGGCAACTACACTGGCCCCCTCAGACCTCAGGTTCACTTTTCACCCCCGGAACATTTTATGAACGACCCTAATGGCATGTTTGTCGATGCAAACGGCACATATCATCTGTACTACCAGTACAATCCGACAGGCATCGTCGCAGGCAACCAACATTGGGGCCATGCCACAAGCCGGGATCTTTACCGCTGGGAGAATCAACAGATTGCTCTCTTTCCTCCTGAAGAGCGTGTCTATGTGTTCTCGGGGTCCGCCGTCGTGGATGTAAACAACACATCCGGATTCTTCCCAGACCAGGACAACGGCGTGGTTGCCATCTTCACACTGGCACGGTATTACGAGGACGGATCCGCTGGACCCCAGATTCAGGCCATCGCCTACTCTCACGACGGCGGCTACACGTTTGAGTACTACGACGGGAACCCCGTTATCAACAGCACGAGTACTCAGTTCCGTGACCCCAAGGTCATTTGGTACGAGGATCATTGGGTCGCGGTCATCGCCTACTCGCAGGAGTTCACCGTCGGGATTTTCACCAGCCCTGACCTGAAGACATGGGAACACACCTCCAATTTCTCCTACCACGGCCTCCTTGGCGCACAGTATGAGTGCCCCAACATGGTCAAGATGCCCGTCCGCGACAGCATCGGCGGCGAGGTGGTGGACGAGACCTATGTCATGACCATCTCGCTGCAGCCCGGCGCGCCACTTGGCGGGTCAGTGACGCAGTACTTCCCCGGTTCTTTCAATGGGACACACTTTGAGACACTTGACGATGCCACGCGCCTGACCGACTTCGCGAAGGACAACTACGCCGCCCAGTTTTTCTACGGTCTGCCGGATGGGAGCAACGCCATCAACATGGGATGGGCATCCAACTGGCAGTACACGCAGCAGGTTCCGACTGGAAACCTCGAGGGGTGGCGTAGCGCAATGACTCTACCCAGGGCTAACTACCTCACCAAAGCGCCCCGGATCGGCTGGGTGGTCGCCAACGAGCTGGTTGATCCGAGCCCTGTCCTCGACACACCACTGAACACGACCACGTTTGAGGGTATCGGTTCGGTCGAGGTCGACTTCGCCTCCGTCACGTCAAATGCTCTCTATATCGAGGCTAACGTGACCGGCCTGGACTCGACCACCATCACCGGTTCCTCCACACTGAACATGACCTTCACCTCGCCTTCCTCCGACGAGGCATTGAGCTCGGGATACTACTTTGGCGGTGACCAGCCGTTCTTCGTTGACCGCGGCCAGTTGGCAGGGTTTGATAACATATTCTTCACGGACAAATTTTCTGTTGCCGACGTATGGAACACGTCTTCTGGAACTTGGCGACTGCAGGCAGTCATAGACAGATCCGTTTTGGAAGTTTTCCTGGACGGTGGTGTCCATGCAGCTACTGTTCTCTTCTACCCCGAGGAACCCCTGACACATTTGACGCTCGGAACAGCCAGTTTACCCGCTGGGGTAGAAGTAAGCGTCGCCGTTTGGGCCCTGAAGAGTGCCTGGGCTGAGTATGAGAACGAGCAAGGCATCGTAGTCGGCAATACGACGGATACTGCCAGCTCAGCGAGGAGAGACATGGTCTACAAGGCTACATGGCATACATGAGGTCACGAATCTGATGATTAGTAGTATTCAACTTCACTTTTCCTACATATCACAATGTTAAATTTTATAAAAGAGAAGGTTTCTTCCCGAGAGGTCTCGGAACAGTGAGCCAATCCAGGCAACATCACAACCAATGTATTTCCACGCACACTTGGTTATGTTTGAAGTTGGCGTCCGTATTCTACCAACTCCCCGGTATCGGTTCCATCTTCAACAATGATTAAAAGGAGCTATGTTTTAGATACATAAGATAATAATAATGAGATCGGAGATTCGCACCGGAAAAAACGGAGGGTACACCGGTAAATACCTTTTATTAACCTTTTTAAAGTTATTTATTAATATATATATATATATAATTTTATTTTATAATAATCTTATTTTTTTAAATATTTTAATATATAAAAATTAATGTTATTAAAAATAATATTAATATTTGTTTTTATTAATAAATATTAATTATTTTATAAAATTATAACTTAGTTTATAATAAAGTTTAAAAATTTAAAATAACTTTTAATGTTAATTTTTATATAATAAACTTAATTAAATTAATCTTTAAAAAGTATATTACATTCTATTCTTTTAAAACTTTAATTATTTATTTTTAACTTAATAATAAAATTAAAGAAATATAAATAGTTTATATAATTTATTTAAATTAAAGTAGTAATTAAATTAGATATATATTTTAATAACTAATAAAACTTTTATTCTTTTTAATATAAATTATATTTTATTATAGAAAGCTTTATATAATAAATTTAAATAAATTAATTTTATAAATGTATTATATTTTATTTATTTTAAAGTATAATAACTTACTTATAATTAAATAATAAAATTAAAAAAAATCTATTATCTATTTATTAAAGTAAGTTTAATATTACTATATAACCTTAAAATATATTTATTACTTTATTAATATACGATTCTTACCGGGATTAAGGTTTATCTATCCCTAGCCTAGCCTGCCGAGTTTGCAGTCATCCTATGCTATGTCGATCAGCACCGCTAAGAACAGCTGAGCGCCATTTTACATAATAGAACTATCCCTAGAGGGGCCTAGAGGGTAAATTAAGATTCAATGATTCTTAAGCTGCATCCTCCTCGGGTTGCGGTCCCGCCCATGTGCGCGTTACTTATATAGCTAGTATCTACAAGTGTAAACATACTTAGGTGCCTAGGTATAGTAAGTATATACACTTCTAGTAATAAATTACTAATAGTATTCATATATTTATTTTAAGAAATAATTTACGATTTATTTTATTATTATTTTACTATTATTTTACTATTATTTTACTATTATTTTACTATTATTTTACTATTATTTTACTATTATTTTACTATTATTTTACTATTATTTTACTATTATTTTACTATTATTTTACTATTATTTTACTATTATTTTACTATTATTTTATTATAAAATAATTAATATTTAAATAATATTTATAATATTTATATTTATTAATAATATAATTTTAAAGTATTTATAATAATAAGTAATTTTTTCTTTATATAATAAAAATATTTATTTCTATTTTCTTATAGAATTTAATATTTAATAATAACTATTATACTACTTCTTATATATAAGAATACCTCCTTATCTATGCTGCTCGCGGCATTGTTATAGTAGTCTTGCTAGTGTAATGTCTAATATTAATATAGTGTGCATGTTGCAGCCCTAAATAAAAGTCCTTACTTCAGATTTTAAGTCTTAAAATTGTTCCGGCTGTAATGAAACGGAACAAATGTGGCTGGTAACCAGTCAACAAGTTCTTAGAAGTTCGTTGTTTTGATATCGGTCCCCGCGTAACTTGCTGGCGTACTTCGTTTATCGTCACGCCGCATGCGGCAGTACTTGACCACAAAGGTTTCGGCAGGGATACGGGATCTTAACATTAGACGGGCACATTGTTGCAGTATGCTTTGCTCTGACAATCAATGTCGCCTCGGGTCGTTACCAAGGGGGATAACACCACTGTTTGGAGAGAAATCACGACAGAACGGTTTCCACCTCTCCCCCATAACTTACACGGTGCGCGACTCATTCTTGATTCCCGAGTCTTGAAACGAGTGCTTGGGATCCGCATGCATCTATTCCGTAACCTCATTTGGCGAGATCTAGCGCTCAACTTCGTAAACAAGGACTTCCGCCCATCGAAAAATGTCGTCCGCCCGCAGCGGCTCTGACTCTGACGCATCAGAACCGCGCCATGCCACCTGGAACTGGCTCCTCTTCCTCCGCCAACGCCGCTTGATGGCTCAGCTCGGGAAGCTCCAGAACGACTTCAAGCACTGCTACTGTCAGGCCGATTGCAATGGATCTTTGCACGTCGAGGAAGGAGTCCCTGTGGTCCCAGGACCCCGCCCCCGCCTACACGTGCATGCCCCGTTCGTGCGCGTGGATAGTGACTTGCCTCGTACCTGGGCCAGACCTGAGTACCATAGGGATGCAGACGATGTGGTTGTCGCAGAAGCACGAGGTACATCGGACATACTTCTTCCCCGGGACGGGCATAGGGCCACTCTGCGCATGTCACTCCAGGTCCGCAGGAAGGCTTCTCAAGCTCCGCTGGTTGGGTATTTTGGGGAGATGTTCCTGACAAGGTGGGGCCAACCGGAGGAGTTTCTCGGTTTTATTCAGAGCTTTCATGTGGATCGGAGGTCGAACGCTGCCTGGGAGGTCACATACCTTGGCGAGTGGGCTGACGGGCAATACGGCGGCACCGGGGATTTCCTTCAGAGAATTTACAACATTACTTTCAAAGGCAATAAACGCGATAATGCTCCGTATGAGTACCATAATCCGGAAAATGTTGCAGTGGAGGAGCGGACCGAGGATGCAATGCTGCTTCCCACCGATCCATACCGGGATCACTTTGCATCAGCTTGGGCGAGAATCAGTGAAGATGGGGCTGATATCCTCTACATACCGCTGATATGGATCCGAAATAAAGTTCGTGCCAGTCTCTTTCATCTTCTAGTCACCCCCCAACCTGTCAAAAATGGAGATCAAAGACAAGAGAACAAACCTGCGAGTCAGGTATCCCTTTACTTCCTCAATATCCCATAGGATGGCTACCTACGTAGGTTTCTCCTAATCTTCTGACACAAAATTCTGTTCCAGTTCCAGGGACAGCGCATTATCGCTCGCGGGTTTGAATTATTATTCAGGCTGATGACTGGTGGCACGTTGTCTGGGGGTAAGTCACATCTAGATGTGAAATGCCTCACTCCCTAGGTAAAGCTGAGTTGACGAGTGCCTATGAAACAGCATACAACCTCAACCGCCCACTGGCCGTTTTGCTGCAGGCGGGCATGCTCAGTCCCCCGTACGACGGAGGTTGGCTAGATGCAAACGGTGATGAGATGGACTGGATTCCCCAGCTGGATGCTATCGCACGTGGATATATGAGGGGTGGGTTTATGCGCCTAGTTCAGGATAAAGATAGCCTCGATTACTACATGGGCCGCGGCGTCGACCCTGCAGACTACCCAGCGGCCCCTGGCGACATGGCCATCGTGCCGCCGAATCCGCCTCCGTCGGATGTGTCCACACCATCGCCCATGCGCGCTAGACCAGTCGGTACCGGCCATCGTGGCCCCAAATTCTTGCCTGGAAGAAAAACTCCGGTTTCTCCTACTTTTTGGAGAGGAAACAATGCTGGCAGCGTCGCAAATAATAACAGTAGCAGCAATGGCGACAATGGCGACAATGACGGCAATGACGGCAGTAGCAACGACAACGATAACGACCAGGAGATGGCACAGGGAATTTAGGGGGAGGATAGAGGGCGGCAGAAGCAATACTGGCAGTTTGAAAAGGATGTCCACAAGGCCACAGGCAATTTAGAAACGATTGTACCGGGTCGACGGTTGGAAGAAAATGATCCAGGTTATTATTTCCTGCTGCTCGTGGGAGTAGAGGCTTTGCTTAGAGCAGGGTGAGTGCTCAGGGGATGGAAGATATTACGAACTTCAGGTCAATGTAATACACAAAGTATTCTAACAACTTAGCTTTGCTCATTTTACTGATGATCTCTGCTTATAATATTCAAAGTGGGCGCACTCGAGTTTATATGCTTATTTATCTTCTTTTAAAGATATCTACTAGATATTTATAACTATAAAAAGAACGCCTTATAATTCACTATTTAATAATATATAATAAAACACTTATATATAGTTTTTTTAAGCATGCTTTAAAATAGTTATATATATTTTATTTAAGTAACTTTTATTTTTAATCAATTTAATATTATACTTTTTTAATATACTCTTATAAATATAACTTAAAGTATATATATATAAGTTATATTTATATTTAAATAGTTTTCTCTTCTTAAATATATTAATGTAAAAGAAATCTTATATACTTATATTTATATATATTAAACTTCTTTTTATTCATTATATATAATAAGGTAATGTGCTAGAAGTTAGAACCTGGGCGGCAGTCGAGCATGTCAAGCACCCCTGATCAACAGGGCCTGGTGGTCAGCTCATCACAAGTGGAACGGTCGTCCGATGTCTGAACAGAACTGCCACTTATAATTGCTCAGAAGCTACGACTCTCCCCGACAGCACAGACGTCGAACAGTCCGATCTCGTCCAATCCTTTGATCTTCAAAGCCTCTCTCAGCTTCTCAGGGGGCTCCTCCACCAGCTCACTGGTCAAAGCAAAAGTTCCCCAGTGCATTGCCAGAGCTTTCCTGCACCTAGTGTCCTGAAATATCTCAACAGCATCGTAAGGACTAGCATGAACTCCACTGTACATGAACCGTGGGTGATATGCCCCACTAGGAATTAGCCCTACGTCAAATGGCCCTCGAAGCTCACCAATTTGCGCGAACTGTGGATTCCGGGGAAGATCGTCGAATCCTGGTCCTAATTCCTCAATACCTTCGGGCACCCAGCGATAGCCCGTATCGCCGGCGAACCATACAGATTTTCCACCTGAGCTGACTCCCCAGGATGCCCAAAGGGTATGGCCATAGTCAAAGCCAGATCTCAGAGAGCCGTGCTGGCTAGGTAGGCAGGAAATGCGGGCTGTAATCTGCTCAGGCGTGCCGATGGAATTCTTGCCGTTATCGCTTGCTCCAGGCTTCGGGAGCCTTTGCAAGACCACCTCGGCATCGTCCCACCAGTCCAGCTCAGTGACGGACGTGAATCCGCTATCACGAAACCACTTGGCCAGGCCACGGCCGACAAAGATATGGAGGTGGGGGAACCTTTCACTTAAATCCTTCAGGCTTGGCAGAGAGAGATGGTCGTGATGATTGTGGCTGATGAAGACCGCGTCGAGCTCTGGAATATCAGCTGTACTGCAGGCAGCGGGCGTGAAACGTTTGGGTCTGATTGCACTGTAACGCTCCTCGAACACAGGGTCGAATATTGCTCGGAACCCCGAAGGGAACTCTACCAGATACGATGCATGGCCAAGCCAAGTGGTGCGGAGACAAGCTCCGCCTTCCCGAGATGCAGCAAAGCTTGGCTTCACAATGGGAATCTTGGCATTTGACGTGTCTGGAACCGGCAGTCTGCCTGCGAGACGGTAGCTGGAGTACGATTTAGGTGGTTAGAACGAAGACGTATGTGTATAGAATAACAGTCGAAGCCCAAGCTCAATAAGGCACGACGCCACTTACCGGATGAATACAGACAAGCCATAAAGGAGTGAAGTGTTCCCAAGTGTTCATGCGGAAGCGTGTGGGTTCACGAAAGACGCAAGTCGCCCATTCTTGTCATAAACATGGTGCGCGTTAGCGTCCTCAGGGGCAGTTCCAGCGTGCACAGATACGACGCAAGTGTAAGCTATCATGTTGTCTCCGGGTTTGCGTGATGGAAGCTGAAGGCTGGGCGAGGGCCTAACGAAGATTCTGAGCAAGAGCCAATACAAGGTTGCGATGTACGAGCTCATTCTGGGATCCCCTGCTTGGCCAAGCGGCGACGCAGGTTGAATCCCGGGCAGAGAAGGGGAGGAAAACTGATGGTGGTTAGGGAGGTGGGTTGATCTGGACAAGGAGATCTGACTGGCGAGATGAATATTTGCTATATAGATCGGAGGAAGGCCTTGCTACGATGCTCGTGCTGGGACAGGAAACCAAGTTGAATAGTCCTTGAGAAACCAAGAAGTAATGGCCATGTCAGCCATGTTGGAGTTGAGCAAAGGTGATCTCCCGAGTGGGATGGCGTGGGCACCTCGACAGAAAATGTCGCACCCGACGTGGGTCGCCATGCAGTCCATACGTAAGTGGGGGCCATTGACTGGACCAGAGTGAGGCAAAACAACCAACATGCTTGAGATAAGCGCTCGTGGATTCGTGTGCGAATGCCCTCATTTACTTCAACTTCTACCGGATGAGGCAGGATTTTTCACTGTGTACAAAGCTCGGGAGTAAAGCTGGCAACCCTTGGAAGCGCGGTCTTACTTTCTTCAGTACCACGCCGAACGCTACTCTTCGTCTGCGTAGCGTGCTAATAAGTAGGTAGCTCCCCAGGCCCTCCGAGACACTTTGTGCGTCTTCAGTGTGCTGTCAACTGGTTGGCTCCCGAGGTCTTCCCCCTTCTACACCAAGCTCACTCACAACGCATCGTTCCCATGGTCTTCATTACCATTGCGATATCAGACCATTGGGGGATTGATGTCAAATCTGGTTCCCTACGTAAGATTGCCCCAGGTTGGCTCCGACCCACTCCGTTCTTGGGTTGTCTCCACATTCCCCGTTGTCCGCACAAATGCGGATTCAATGTTATGAACAAAGGCAGATGCTACCCAGCTGTTCAAACATGTGATCATACGTACTGGTCATCTTTTTCTCTTGCTTAGGCAATCTGATGACGATGTTGCCCCCTCGCACATGGCCAACCTGAACTTTTTGGAAGCCAGTGATCACTTTCTCCAAGCCCTCTCCAAGGTCTCGCACCACTGGCAATGGCTTCAACAGCGCGCCAGTATGCAGTTGATTTTACATTTCCCCTTTCCACCTCGTACCGAGTGTACGCATCCTGCGGCTGGCCTTGCTCTGCGCGTATACACATCGTGGCCACATTCAACATTCTCCCCCAGTATTTTGTAGCCCATCACCATTTTTACTCTGGCCGCACGTCGAGTCGGCCAGGCATCCTGAACTCTTTCTAGACATGCATATTGGCCGCCCGTACGGCCTGGGGCCTAATTAATAGGAGACTGAAGAGGACTGACCGTCGGTGATGCAGTCCAGCGCATGTCTGATTAAGACATCGCCGGTAATCAATTTGACATCTTGAGCACAGCTATTCGAGTTAGCAGTGCGTAAGTAGAAACCGAGGCCTAGGAATGGTTATGCAAGTGTTGCAAGTGCGAAACGACGCGAGAATTCTAATGAATTTAGTCGAAAGCTGTGCTGAGGATATGTATTATTTTAATATATGTAACGAAATAAGATTAACTAAAAGCTTACATATTATATATTAATTTAATATTATAATAGGTTTAATATATTAAACGATTTAAGGTATTTAAATATATATTATATATATTATTTTATTAATAATCTTTTAAATATTTTTAAAGTATAAATAAAGTAATATAATTTAAAAGTTAAAATTTATAGTTTTTAATTATATATAATAAACTTAATATATATATATATATATATATATATATATATATAAAGTTTAAAATATAATTAAATAAATAAAATAAAAAAATAAGTTTAATTTAATAATAACTATTTAAATTTTATAATAAATTATTATAAAGTTAAGAAATAAATTAAAAAGTATTAAAATATTAATATACTGTATATTTATTTATTATACACCTTATAAATGTTAGTATAGTAGGGTTCAAGTTAGTTAATTCGAGTAGAGACTGATGGCTGGCTCGACCCAGTCTTGTCTACTTAAGTACTAACAAGCGAAGCCACACTTTTGCCTCCCGGATGTCGGACTCATCCTTGTACGCACACGCCAAATCCGACGGCTGACTATCCGTCATTTCAAGGTTCGAACGGGCTGCCTCGTATTGGCTGCAGTGCTACCTTGGCAGACCCCGTACCTGATCTAGTGCGCCCCTCTACTGCTTACTTGCAATATCCATGGACAGCAGGTTTTGTCAGCTCGTCTCTCGTCCGGGGAAACGGGCCAGCCATGTCGAGCATTAGCCTCATTAATTCTGATTACTCTCGATGCAGCAATAGCACGAGAGCCATGCACGTCGTCGGTTTTTCCACCTTCCTTGATCACGCCTGACATTCCTTCGCTCTCAGGCGTTCCACCAGGAGGAGGAAGTCAGCACGAACAACGGGTCACAGGTCACCTGGGCAAACTCTGGTTTCTATAAGTACGGCTCGACGCGACCTCCCCACCCCTCGCCTGATGAGTACAGGCTCTCATCGAGTTGGAAACCACCGCGCTTCAATTATCCAGCTATAATCGTCGACCATCATCATGATCCGAACAACCCGTCTCTCCAACCTCTTGGCGTTGGTGCCCCTCGCCGCTGGGGCCATCATCGACAGCAGACAGGACAATGCCACCACGATTCCTTCCAGAGTTGAGAGCGGCATCCAGACGGAGTGCAAGACTTGCCCGTATTCGCTCTGCACGAACCAGCTAGCGCTCGAGTACGCAACAGAAATGACGTTGACCTGTTGGACTTACGGCGACAATATCGTCGATTCCAAGTGAGCTCCCAACGGCCTATTGTATCTGCCAATGAACCTTCCTAACGGCTGCCCAGCATCTGGCTGAGGACAACGGACGGCTGCTACGTCACTCAGTGGGATATCATCGAGTACGCGGGAGACTGTAAGTGATACGCCAGCCACAGCAAATGATGATGAGCTTGTGTTTTGGCGGACATCTGACCAGGTGTGTGCATGTACACAGATACAAACACGCCGGGCTTCCCTTACTGCGGTGACATACCCCAGACATATACCACCGGCCCAAGCGCGACGATCTACTACACAGAATGCAACATCATCCCTGAGACCGTCGAGCGACAGGACCGTATCAAGATGTACAAGACCGAGGTCGACCTCACCCTGACCTGCTACACGGACCAGGGTGAATCCATACTGGGCAACACGTGAGTGCCGCGGACCACCTCCCTCAAGACTGACACAAGAAGTGACAACGACTGACACATGTGTACAGGAGATGGTTCAAGACCCTGTCCAACTGCTACGTGCCAGAAGCCCAGATCGAGTTCGTCGACCCGGGGCTCGACGACTGCGGGCCGATCCCCTTCATGGAGACCAAGATGCGCGAGCCGGACGCGGAGCCCGTCCCCGAGGTGGCCTCGTTCCCCGCACCCGCGGGCACCGTGCAGTCTCGCGCGGAGGAGAAGCGGTGGCTGTACCTGACGCAGATCGGCGGGGACTCGGCCGACTGCACGTCGGAGGCGAGCAGCACCTCGGCCGTCCAGCAGGTCCTGCCGTTTGGCAACTACATTATCGTTCAGTGTGCTACTTTCGGTGCCGCCCCTGAGACCGAGCAGTAAGTTCCCCATTCTCTTCATGGATTTCGTCAGAGGTAGTCGTCGTGAATAAAGATTCAGATAAACAATATGACCTAACCCTTGCGAAACTCTACAGGATCTTCCTGCTCACGGATGACTTCTGCTGGGTCAACGACACCCTGACGGATCCTCAGTTGACTGATAGTGTGCTCCGATGTAAGTTTCAACACTCCCCTGACATGGTCAGGCGTGGGCGTGTGTACTAATCAGCCTTTGTTAGCTCAACGTTATCCGAACTGCATCGACTTTGTCGACACTGAGGTCTAAGTCGAGGGCGAGGTAGCGTAAGTAAGGTAGCACTTGGTCTTAACTTGCATCTAGGCGGACTCCAGCAGATTGTAGCCCAAAACTAATCCAAATTTCATGATTCACAACTTTTAAAACTGTTTCACCAGGGACAATCATGTCTGATCTCCCGTGTGCAGTCCTGCCAGCCGCGAGGTCCGCTGCTATTCGTAAAGTCGTCCGTCAAACTGTGTCTACTATCATTATTTATGCAGTGAGATTCTCTTTATGCTTTAAATTAGAGTGACCTGCAGCATGTGATTTAAAGATCGTAAAACTTAGGAGGTTGTCGAATAGATGTGATAGGATACGAGATTAGGAGGCTTTACTATCGGATTTTATAACTTATGAGATCTTATAGTGGAATGTAACTAATACTAAGACAAGCTATTCCTGGGTCAGTATCATAATATCAAGCCTTCAAAAGTGAATTCAGTATCTAGGTCTGTAGGTGCTGCCGTAGTAGCTTTGCCGCAGTCAAGTAATCTGGAACCAATTATCCTACAGTTGGTTCCCCACTTCTCTCCGGACGCTTGTCCAACGAGCAAGAAAATATAAGTGGGACTGGGAAATGGGAAACGAACCTAAGGGACAGTGAGTGGAATGACAACCCTCCGCTTGCCCTCGAGCTCTCCTGGACCCACAATCGGGAAAACCAACAATGTTGACTTCAACCAAAGGCATATTTAGCTCCTGGTAGACATCGGCCTGTGTCTCACTCTGCTTGGCACCTTGAGAAGCACATTTATATGCTACATTGGTGCCAAAAAAGGAAACGAAATCTTGCGATGCAGATTTCCTTACAATTGTGCCCATTACTGGAATCGAACCAGTCACCTCATCATTGCCTTATTGAAGGGCTACTAGTGATGCGCTCTACCGATGAGCTAAACGGGCATGAAGGCTTATCACTCGTGATGGTCCTATGTCGCAACTGCCAGCTGTTGGTACGGGCAACGGCGGGCAAACAGCAAAATAGTTAGATTTGTCCTCGCGTATTAGCTTCAGAGACAGGGGTGACAGATACCAGTGACCGAAAATCTGGGGTGTGAAAATGTAACTTCTATTTACCGCTGGATGACGCCAATCTGCCAGCGAGACACAAAGCCTACCTGAATACGAAAAGAGTCTTGCACTTTTGTCATAACTTGACGCCCAGCCCAGCCCATAAGCCCCTGACCAATCATAAAAAAGTTGATTACATACAAGGCCGTTATCAATTTACCACCGGACAAAGGCGCCATGTATGTCCTCGGATGTATGCGGATAGAACCAAAACCAGATATAAGGCCGTTAAAATTATTCAGTCATCTTCAATGTTACTTCCGGTATCACACTCCTCCCCGCACATTTCATTTATGCCGGACCCCCCCCCCAAATCAGGGGGAAATAGCAAGCTCCACCGAGCTTTCCGACACGGTCGGGCTCGTGCCGGCCGGGATGGGCGCGGGGGACTTGGACTTCCACGCCTCGCCGAGGGCGAGCTCGTACAGGTCCAGCTCCATGGGCGGGCCGCCGCGGAAGAAGGGGATGTCCTCGAGGATGGACTGCATGCACGTGTTGAGCTCGGGCGTGTTGCGCGTCGAGGTGTAGACGATGCCCAGCGGGGCGAGGATGACCATGATGCGGTCCTTGGTCGTCACCAGGTTATTGTACAGCGACGGGATCAGCCGGAACGCCTCGAGGGCCGGCTGGCAGATGAACCTGGCCTCGTCCGGGAGCAGCAGCGGCGTCGCCGGGTGGCTGTCGCCCGCGTGGCGGATGTAGTCCATGTCGAAGGCCGACAGGCGGGCCGGGTTGTGCGGCTCGCCCATCTCCAGGAGGTCCTCCAGCTGCAGGAGGTAGAGGAGGGCCGCGTTGTATGTCAGCATCTCCAGGGCCTGCTGGGTGGTGTCGAACTCGATCATGGTGGCGAGCTGCTCCCTGAAGACGGGCGTCTCGATGCTGTCGAGCTTTAGGTTGGACGGGACCTCGCGGGCCACATCGGGGTACGAGCGGTTCCAGTTCCACCTCCAGGTCGCCAGCGCTTCCCTCAGCCAATCGACCCTCTCGTGGAAAGAGGCCCTGGTGGTGGGAGATATTGGCTGTTCCGAAGCGGCCATATCATTCACCAGGCCTGGCATGTCGGCCATGATGTCGATGAGGCTGTCAAGCGCCGTCTTGGGCAGCTTCTCCCAAGGTACAGTCTTCCATTTGCTGTCCTCCAGGAAAGTCCTCCGACGTATTGCGAACGACTGGCATATCTGCACGGCAGTGTTAGCAAGGAGCAAAACAGAACAAGGCAAGAAATGGATGGGCACCACGTACAAGTAGGGCCCTGCAGGACCTGAAGGCGGTCAGCAAAGGATCCTCCTGGAAAGTCTCTGGGCCGCAGTGCTTCAAGATCTGGGCCACGCCGATATTGTGTATCAACCGCAGGTCGCGGTCGATGGCAAACTAAGAGTGCCGCCCGAGTCAGCCTACTGGATTCACACATGGAGCGCGAGATGGGGTAACAGGGGATATTGCGGGATTAGAGCCAGTGGGGTCGAGCGTAGGTTCGGGACGGGGCGAGATGGTGTGGACCGACTTACAGAGTACATGCCGAGTATGACTATGGGCACGCATAACTGGGCCAGCTCGGTCTTAGCCCCTGTGCCTCGTGTCAGTAGGGACTGGACCTCCCTCAGACTGCGGCCGTAGAGCTCGAGGCCGGTGGACTTGAGGCTCTTGTCGGCATGGTTGGTGCCCATATGCCCGTAGGCCAGGGCCAGGCTGCACATGCGGCTCGCCGAGGGGGCAAGGTCCGTCTCCCTGGCGAGGTGGAGGAAGGGCTTCCAGAAGTATGCCCAGCCGTACGTCGCGAAGAAGTAACTGAAGGCCATGTGCTCCTGAAACGCGGTCAGGTTCATCTCTGGGGGCGGGTCGAGCCGGCGCCGAGCCTGTTGCTGCTGCTGCCGGTGCTCGAGCGCTGCGCCGCCCAGGAGCACCTTGTACCCGCCCACGCTGTCGTCGTCGTCATCATCGTCGGTGCTGCCCCCACGGCGGCCCTGCGCCCGGGCGAGGCCACGCCGGAGCTGGTGTAGGGGCGGAGGGGCTGGCGCTGCCGATAGGGTCGTTGATGCAGGGGCTGTTGGCGGTGCTACGATGCGGGCTAGCCTCTGCGAGCCTTCTGGTTCGGTTACGACGACGAGGGATTGCATGCGCAGGCCGAGGTCGTAGCCCTTGCAGGCGTATCCGGACTTGAGGCACCGGAGACATGAGGGGCGCGTCCGGTCTGTAGTCAGGGACACAATATGACGAGTCAGCAACAACAAATAGATGCAACAGATGGAACCGATAGACAGGCAGACATGGCAGCCCGCCGGATCGAAGGATGGGCCCGGCAGGATGGATGATGGAGGTGGTGCATGTCCCCGGAGGATGTGGGATTAAGATGTTCCATCCCCCTCCAGCACCCATGCCTTCTTCATCTTGGTCGCTATCACCATCATCGCCATCCCCTCCTCCTCCCTGTGGGCTGGGACGCTGAGACGCAGAGACGCTGATACGCACCGCATTTTATTCGCCGCTTCCGGCAGGTGTGGCAGTACCCGCTGGTCGGCGGACGACCCATTTGGCTCGGGAATACGCCGATTTGCCCGGGACAGGCAACCCCTAAGCTCGACGGAGGTCGAGGGTCTAGCTGTCAGAGGAAGATGCCGAGAACGAGGACGAGTCACTTGCTGCTACCCGCTCCGTGCCAGCAGCAGGTTCTGGGAGCAGCTCCTCGTGGCTTCCTCTGGGTTGACTCGCAGATTGGCGCGCCAGGAGGCCAGAATGCGGAGTGTGGACCCAGCTCGCCGGCTGCCGCTCGACTTTGGATGCCCGATGTAGAAAAGCTCGGCCGGGCCAGACCAGGGTCGACCCTTTGAAGACCAGACGACTTGGTTTTGGGAATCGTGGGGAGCGATTGGCAGTGGGTCGTGGCTTGTGTCGTTGATGCTGCTGCTGTTGGTGCTGTTGGTGTCGAGATATCCGATGCACGAATGTCGTTGTGGTCGTTGTTGTTGATGCTGATGTTCGCCAGCCCCCTTATGGATATGAGAAAAGATCTTCCCCCCTACCCGTGCCAGCTACGGCTGTTGAGTTCAGCGAGCTCGAGGGACGGGAGCCAGCTGCAGGGAGGGGGGACCCGTAATATCCGGACAGAGTAAGGACTCGTCCTCAGCCCGGCAATCCCTGAATCAGAGGGCCCCAGCAACGCCACTCAACAGCCGGGTTGCAGCCAGGCGAGGGCTGGCCGCCAGGCCGCTACTACTACATTGCTACACTCTACTGGCCTTCCTGTCCCGGCACGTAAGCAACCAGGCCTCCCCGACGTGGTAGGCGCTGTTTCACAGCATACGTTAATCCTCGAGCCCCGAGAGGCTGTCGGCTCCGATCCTGGCCCCGCTTGGGGCGGATGTGGGTGTGGGATCTTGGCTTTCTTTCTCCCACGGGGCAAGCCAGCGCACTGGATTGGCCCGGGCATTCTTCAAATATGTACGTGATGTGTATGTACACAAGTGCTACGTAAGAGGCAAGTATTTACATTTATTGGGTATCATGCTGCGCTTTTGACATCATGGCCTCAGTCATCAATCCGAATTCAGGAATCAAAATCGTTCGCCCAAGCTCTCCAGCCACTCCCTCTCCTCCGGGAGCAGGTCCAGGTTCGGCGGTACCTGGATGCCGTGTCTCGTCACCACCAGCGTGTACTCCGCCTCATGAGAAGTCGTCCTCCAAGGCTCAAGGTCCGTCGAGCCTTCGCTTCCATTGTGGTCTTTTGCAGCCTCGGGGTCCGCTGTTTTCGCCGCCTTTTCCTCGCGCCTCCGAGCCCAAAACGAGCCAACTTCTTCGGGTGTCCACCAATACAGCGGGAACCGACGTTGGATATTGTTGACCATGAAAGCTACGACGAACATGACAGTAGTGCTCAATACGACCATGGGTACGAGCAGCCATCCGATGCGAGCCACTTCGTCAGCCGTCACCCCGAGCAGTGCCGTCGCGCCGGCCGGTGGGTGCACAGTCCCGGTGAGGGACATGACAAATATCGAGGTAGAGCATGACAGAGCGCCAGCGAGCCATCGAAGCTCCTGGTAGCGGGCTTCTGAGAGCTGGGAAAATGCCGTGTTCATGGCCACGGCGATCACGCTGCCGACTATCTGCCCGAAGAGGGCATTGCGCGGCTGAGAGAGCGGCGAGTCGATGGCGTAGAACTCGAGGACGGCCGCGGCACCCTAAATGGAGATCATCAGTCAACCTGGCGAGGACGGTATGGCGTTTTTGGCCACGCATGTGACGTGCTCTAGGGGAACTCACGAAGCTGCCGATGATGAGTGGTGAGCCGGCCTTCTCGAAGGCCGGTATTTGTCTGTCGATGATTGATATCAGGGACAGCGAAACCAGCGCCCCGATGAAGGCCCAGAACCCAAGAGCAACATTTCCTAACTTCGGTCGTGATCGCTTATGGCGTTCTAGGAGACTCTGAGCACTGCGTGGCAGGAGCCTCGTCGGCGGTGGTATCAGGAATGGGTTGAGGTAGTGGTCAAAGTTGACCTGCCACTGGCTCGGATGAAGCATAGGTGCGAATGACTTCTACTCCGCTGGGCCTGCAGTGTCGTCTGGGGGGTCCCAGGGGGGTAACGTGTGCGTGCAAGTGTACGTGTAGGTGCGATTGTGCTGAGCTGTGTCGTCTCACTCAGGTCCAGGAGCATCGATTCGGGAACAAGGTGGCCTTCGAATCCAGGGTTACAGTCATCAATTGGAAGCTCTTGGGGATGAACAAGGACTGTGCGCCAGAGTCTATGAGAGTAGCACTGCCATGTGGTCTTGTACTACTGCTCACAACCTCTTGCTCCATCCCAGACGCGGGACATCCTCGATTGCCCATATTGCAATTGCCGTCTGATGTTCCTGGCGTGGCCATGGCGTGGCCAGCTCTGCCAGTCACTCGGGCGTAAGGGTCCTGCATGTTGGCCTGGCAAGAGACAGAAACATGTCGTGACCCAGGAGACCGTTTTCTTTACGTGATGAGCGACCAGAACACCACACAAACAGGCGTCATATTAGCAAAGAGAAACTGGACCGGAACCATCCCATGTCATCTGACAGCTCTAGCCCAGACCTTTAAAGAGACAGGAAGGAGCCGGGAGTGACTCCAGAGAAGAGTATCTCCGCGGAGGAGGCTCAAAATCGGTACCCGAACCCTCTGCGCCAGCACGACACGACGTGTTTCGTGGCTCGCCTTGGACATTGCACGAGATCACTCGGCCCGTCAGACCCGTCGGCATGCTGCGGATGGCGAGTGAAGGCGCGAGGCAGGCAGAAGAAGTATGGGTCAAGATCACCCGTTGTGGATGGCCTGGGCAGTGTCCTGGGCGCGCATCGAATATTGGGTGATGTCACGAGACCCAGGCCTGGTTGGTCTCACAGCGTCAGGGCGTCAGGGCAGCTGGAGGTTCCAACCAGGGGTTCGTTGGCACCGTAGCAGGGAAGACGGCCTGCCAGCGAGCAGTCCAAGACATGGGAAGTTGCACTACAGCAGCCCTGGAGTGGCTGCGAAACAACTTGATGCGATGTATGTATAAACTATATATATACCTAGATATATATATATATCGAGTAGCCTGATCACATGCTTTGATTCTCTCATGTTCCCCATATAACATCAAGCCCACATCAGTTATGCTATGATAAGGACAGTCCTGAGTCCATATCTGCTTGGCAAGGCCGCCCCGCGCCAGCGTTCGGAACACTGAAGCCGAGGCTGTCACCCCGCATCCCAAGGGCCGACCCCTTGTGTTTAGTTAGGGCGAACCAGTCTGTTCTCCTGCAGGGGGGAAGCTCGAACGATCAACCCCGCGTTCCATGTGTCGGCCAACATGTCAGGGTCGTCGACGTCACGCGCAACTGCACAGCCCATCGTCTTGTTCATCAACTCCATCTCCAACCCAACAACCGAAGTGCACATATAGACAGAATGATTTTCAAAATGCCCACGATCCCTTCAGGCATCTCGGCCCGCACCGGCGATGTGATCCGCGCAAGCAATAGCACATGCGGACGACAGCGGTTCAGCACGAGCGGGGCTTTGCGCGCTGGGAGCGGCGGATTCTTCAACCTGGGCGGCCTGGGCGCCTCACGAGAAGCCCAGTACCTGTCCAAGGAGCGAGGCATTCCGCGCACCGAGTACAACTCCAACATACATCTCATCCGGTCCAGCGAGGTCGACCCATTCGCCCCGGCCCCTGGATCGACCCGGGCCGCCGCTGATAAAGCCTCTGCTAAAGCTGCCGCGGCCGAGGCCGCACGATTACGCTCCCGGATCGCATCTGCTCTTGCTGGTCGGCGTGGCCAGTTCGCCCCTGATCATGCGATGGAAGGTGTCCCGGGAGGCGTGGCAAGCCTACATGACCAGCTGCGAGTCCTGAAGAACGAGCTCGCCGAGGCAAAGAGGGATCTGCTCGTCGCCAGGTGGAAGGCGGAACGAGCCAGTCATGAGAAACCCGAGCCGTCCATGACCTCCCACCTGCTGAGCACCGTCATAATAATTACAGCTGTCTATTTCATTGCCAAGGACGTTAGTGCGCGGTACACAGGGTCTCCCAAGCCTGCCGATGGCCCCATCCAGGGCCAGGCTTTCACCAGCGAGGTCGACGAAGCAACAGCGCAACGACAACGGGATGCACCGCTCGAGGAACAAGTGCTGGCCGAGTCGGGTCTGACGTCCTTCGAGAACCAGTCCGAGACGGTGGAAACTCCACGGAGATCTGGGCTGAGCGGCCTCTTCTGGGCCCGAACGTGATGTGGGGCTGCGGTTTCATCGACGACTATCAGTGGATTTATTGAGGCCACAGGCCACCTGGGCAGCCCGGTAGCAGGGAGGCGGTGACGTAGCACCACTGATCTGATCCATACCGTCCGCTGGCATAGAGGATCAGCTTCAGCGAAGACGTCCTCTTTGGGATTGGGAGGGGCAGTCACTTTCATTTTGCTTGTTCATCCGAGTATTCCGGGACCGTTGACGGCTTTCCACTTGTTACCGGGGCAGATTCCGAAGTTTGGCGTCAGTGAACGCACGGGGTGCTTGACAGCTGCAGGGCCTTAGAATTCCATTGGGCCCTGGATCATTCCGCATCTAGTCTATGGGGCCCGAATGGGTCTTGCAAATCTCCTGGGCCAGGCCACCGCTGCCCGTCTGCAAACAGGGGACATGGCTGCAGAAGTTGTTGGCCAGAGTAGCCCAGGGGAGAACATCCGCATATTCCTTTCCAGCGACCCCCGGAAAGCTGGCGTTATAGTTGGAATTCAGACAAACATTTCAGGCGTAGTCGGACCGTGGTCCAACAACAATCCACTCAACCTGAGAGCATGGGAGCTCAAACATCCGATGTACCATGGCATTCATTGAATCTTGGTATTCATGTGGCAAGGCCTATGTCAGGCTCTGCATCTGGCATCCAGCTTGAAGTCCCGAGTGTCCGCAAGTCATGGCTTGTGGGGTGACACCCATGTATGGCCGTTTTTGGACCAACATTACACCCGATGTAACACAGCAGCACATGTTTCCCCCTCGCTGAATGTGCTGCCCTTGCTGCCGCTGCCCCCCTCACTGAGGTAGCCACCTGGGCCTTCATGTCTTTATGCCTGTGCCTTGGCCGCTTGCTCGGCCATGATCTCCATGGCGCGCGCCAGCACCCAGTCCTCGGAAGGGTAGTCGGGGCCCCGGATGGCCTCGGCGACGGGCAGGATGACGGACTCGTCGATCTCCTTGAACTTGCCGCACTGGATGTGGATGTTCTGGCCGTGTCGGCTGCTGTCCGCCATCAGGATGGCGACGGCGCGCGCGACGGCCGACGGGGGCTGCACCTCGACGCCGATCTTGGCCATGAGCTCCTCCAGGCCGGGCAGGACGCTGCTGTTGGTCCACGTCGGTGCCACTGCGTTCAGGCGGATGGGCAGCCCGTAGGCGGCGATGACGGGGTGCAGGCCTCTTGCGAAACCGTGCACGGCGGCCTTGGCCGTGGCTGTGTGGTGACTGCCAGTCAGCGTCGTGTGCGCGATCGCCAAGACGGGGCTTCTCTCCCTGTGTTCGGTTGAAGTGGCAACTCACCGTAGTCTGCTGCTCTGCATCGCTGGATGGCCATCACCGACCCATTGATCACGACGCTGCCGCCCTCGGGCTGCTGGCGGAAGTAGTAGATGGCCAGCGTCGTCGTGTTCATCACCCCTCTCAAGCTGACATCCAGCAGGTCGTACGACGGCTCCTTCAGGTCGCCATTCTCATCCACCTCGGTAGAGAAGTAGTCCGCACGGGGCCCGAGACCTGCGTTGGCGAAGACATGATCTATCCGGCCGTGAATCTCCTTGGTCTTCTTGAAGAGAGCAGTCAGGTCTGCCCACTTGGACACGTCCGTCTTGATAAAGGTCACGTTCTTGTCCGACTCGGCAGGGGGTGCAATGTCTGCGTTGACAACCGACGCTCCGAGCGAGGAGAGCAGCTGGACTGTCCCCTCACCGATGCCCGAGGAGCCGCCTGCGGGTTGTGAATGTCTCAGTCAGCACCGTCCCCCATGTATCACCACCCACTATGCACCTGTGCCATTTCATAAGTGGCACAATGTGGTTGGCATACCTGTGATGATAATAACCTTGCCCTTGAGGCCTGTCAGGTCCTCGTTGTTGATCTGAAACTCGGCCATGGTATCGATACGAGACGTAAGGTTTTCGCCTACAAGCCAAGTCGGTCCACAGGTGGAATGCTTTTGCCTCTTATTGGGATTAAAAACGCCGACAAGCACAGACAGAGACGAGTTCGAAGGATCGCTTTAACGGCCAAATCTGCACGAGCCGGCGCCGTTGTGTCCCTGCTGCACGAAAATGTCGTCCCATTTAGAGTTCGTTGGCCTCGATCCCGACGTCGATAAGGGTCACTATCTCGACAAACATGCCCGGAAAAGGGCTGCCTGACACGTGCGAAAAGGGGCTGGAAACTCTCAGCCGTTGTCCATCCCCCGGTAATCTATGGTAGCGCGCGTGGACCGGTGGGGGATCAAGGCCTGTCAAGTTGCCTTGGGTGCTTCGGTTCGCGCAGCGTGCGGTGGGTGGCCTGCATACTGTGGATTGTATTACATTCTGTACGACTCAGGCAATGCAGCGCCATCCGAGAAAACCCATGCGAGTGGGACAGGGGCATCGTCGGACCCCCGTCGAAAAACCCCACAACCCACGCCAGACGCCCAAAACGGACGCGCCGTAAACTCTTTCCTCAGAGTCGAGCTTATGGCAGCACGGCACAAGGCCGCACAAATGCTGGTTGCGATGTACTCCTTCCCGCAGAGCCGCCTAGTGAGCTCGCTTACGACGGAGAATTTACCTTGATCCTGCACAGGAGAGATGATATATCCCACTTCGGCTGTGTGGTTGAATATGAGTGGCAATACAACTTGGCTGTCATGAGCCCCTGCCTTGTTTGCTCGGCACTTGGGGCCACATGTGGTGCCAGGAGGGAGAAGTCCATATCCGGACTCTCGTGGGCGAAGTCTGGTTTTGCGCTTGACACCGAACTGACATTGGCCATGAGCAACACACTGCACGTGGAGAGGTGCTGATTCAGACCCTACTCTTCTTGACAGGACGAAAACCCAGGCTGTGCCTGAACAGCAGCGTCAAGAGGGTATCCGCTACATCTCCCGGCAGCGCACTCTATTCCGACGCCTGGTCCCAGAGATCTTGATTGATCCCCACGCCCGCCATGACTGACCCAGCCGGCGACGGGGTCCTGCTTCTCCGCGTTACCATAGCAATGCTGACGCTTAGTTGGGTCGTGCTGCTCTCGCGTTTGGGTGTTCGAAGATGGCTGAAGCCCGAAGCAATGGGTACGGACGACCACCTGATGTTCGTTGGCTTGGTACGAGTCCCTTGGGGTGCAGGCATATTCCATCTGAGTAGAGGATGACTGACATTCACCAGATCTTGTACACGGTAACTTGCGCCATGGTAATTACTTGTTGCTTCTACGGCGCTGGGCAGCGTGCAAAGTATCTTGAGCCTGCCGATATTATGCAAGGAACCAAGGTAAAGAGTCCCAAGAAATCTGCTCCCGCTGTGCTGCAAGCATCTGACCGTCCCGAATCGAAGCTTTTCTTTGTGGCCCAACTCACCTATTCCTCATGCACGGTAAGCACCCATTTCTCACCTATTCCACAAAGACTTTGTGGGCCACAGGTCTCGAAACAGGCTGTAGCCACTGTGGCCTCGCCATGTTCCCATGCAGCGAGCCATCTGGATCTCTCGTGGCTGATTGCCAATGCTGCAGGTGCCCATCAAGTCTAGCATCTGCGTAACTCTCCTCCGCGTGGCAGACGCTCGACGTAGATTCGTCTGGACTATATACATGATCATCGGCGCGACCTTCGTCTCAGCGGTCGTGTTCATCATCGTCGTCGCCAACGTCTGTCACCCAATTACAGCACTATGGGGTGAGACGGACGGAGTTTGCAACCCTGTGCTGAACAGCAGCATCGGCTTCTTCTTTTCGGCGGTTTCCATCGTCACCGATTTGACCCTGGCGATCCTGCCCGCGATCCTCTTGATACCTCTCCAAATGAGATTGCGTGTGAAAATCTCCGTCGTCTTGCTGCTTGGTCTGGCTGCTTTGTAAGTCCTTGAAGAGGCCCATCGGCTCCGCCAGCCTCAAGAGCCATAAAGCTGACCATGGTTCCAATAGTGCGAGCTGCGCGACTATCATCCGTCTACGATACCTCACACTATACAACGATCAAGCCGAGTTCATGTTCAGCACCGGCCAAATAGGCCTCTGGTCCGTAGTCGAAGAAGGAATCGGCATCTGCGCCGGCTCGTTGCCCACCCTCCGACCTCTGCTCAGCCTGTCCGTCTTTGGTGGCAGTACCAACGCGAGTAAATACCCAAGTCGCGGCACGGCCCCTCTGTCAGCATCGAATCATCTGGACCAGGCAGAGCAGGGAGATGCGGTCAAGTTGGACACGATGCGGTCGTCGCGGACCAGCAAGAACAGACCACGCGCCTCCACGGACGACGATAGTGTGAAACACATACTCAAGGAGACCCGTGTTACCGTGACGGCCGAGACGTACAACGCGAATGACGACCCATGGCCGAGGCAGCAGGTTCTAGGATGGGATGCACATGTCGGTCGATGAGGCCGTCAGCAGCATCTCATTGATATACGGCATCTCACGGTTTTTTGCAGCGAATTAATGCATGATGGAACCTGCAAATATACGGCGCAAGTTGCCATCCGTATTGTATAAAACGAATATACCACCCTGACACTGCCTTCGAGTATCCCATGAAAGACGAGACTCAAACAAGCGTTCTAAATTGCAGAAGCTGCACCTGTTGCTTATGAGCTCGTACCGATCGTGCCTAGCGCGCGTATTATTAACAGTGATCCTATTTATGGTCAGTTTGGCCTCATAGTATGAACGAAGTACTCGTGCATGCGAAGCCGAACCACGGACCTACCTAGGTAAGTACCTAGGTACCCTACAATACAGGTTGTGGCTTCCATCAGAAAATTCATAGGGAGCGCTATCTCATGTCAAGATGGGGAAAAGGTTGGTTGACGACAGCGACAATCATAGTGTAAGCTTTTGTTATCATAGTTTTGTCCTCTGACTGCTGAATCTAGCGATGAGACCATCGAGGACCGGATTCGTCGCACTGCGACGTAGCATCATCACCGAGGCAGGTCTGCAGCTATGAGCAAAGTGTTTGACGTGGAAGGGCGGATGTTGGGCGTTCCAAGGGTCGGGGACTACGTGCTGCCGGTACAAGCATTGTTCCAGTTCCGTCAGGCGGGCATCCTCAAGCTTCTCTCTGCCATGGCTGACCAACTAGCCGATTCGATGGCAAAATATGCCTAGAATAGTATGACAAGCTATTTATTTATTTGTTTGCCTTTTGCCGGCCCTGACGAGCCGCTGTTGCTCATACCTTCTTCGAAATACCTGTAGTAATACTACCCGATGATCATTTTCACAATTGCACCGTCAAACACGACATCACCTTCGTTGCCTTGGCACTCTCCATGAACCGGCTCTTAGTGGCTTTTGGAGCAAATACCATATGCCTCTGCAAGATAGAGTGGCGTTTGAAGATGGTATGGACACTCAGTAGTGTGTTCGGTTCGAATAGAGACCTCATTCCGTACACCGATGCTGCTCAGCTCATTTGTTTCAGTTGCTCTGGACCAGTGTGGCTCCTGTAGTATATGCCTTGAACTGTTCTGGACAGAGGGCTTGGCGCTGCCGCTCGAGCTGCCATAGAGGGTACTCGAGAGGGTCGCCCATCCACTGGAGACCCACCGTATGAGGGGGCGGAGGGCAAGGACAGAGCTAGCAAAAATAGAAAGTCCGTGCTCGACAATAGACCATATCATAGCCTTGTACCCTTGAGCAATCGGATCGACGCTGCTATGAGGCTGAGAGCCGTCGTAAAGAAGTTTGAGTTTCATAGCAGCAGCGATAGTGGCGCTATAGTGACGGTGCCTATTAGTATCCAATGTGATCTGATAGAAGTTAAGGGGGGTAGAAAGCAGCTCTTTGAGCTGTCGTTAAATCGACTCACAGAACCCCGAGGCTAAACAAACCAAGAACACTCCACTTCAGACCCTTGCCAATTTGGACATTCCAAAGGATGAAGACCGGTAAAATAATATGAAAAACATCATAGATAACATAAAGACTTTCTCGTGAGTAGGCAACATTAGTGCACGTTAATTTGTCAATAGCACCATAATAGGGGCCCATTTTCATACAGCTAAGGGAAGTCAAGGCCGTAGTGAAAATGGTCCAAACCCAGCATGTTGAGATGTCAAAAATAATAACAGCACGGATGAGTGGGCTACCGTTGTTAGTGAGGCGATAGAGAACGAAAGCAACGCTGATTTTAACCGTCCCGGAAATTATAAAGCAAACAATACACATTGCGTAATAGTACTGCAGGTGTTCTTTAGTATCGGAAACATCGATAGAAGTTTCGTAGCGTGTCACACACCAAATTGGACTTCGTCTTGTCATGCCACGGCTTGTCGTCTGTGGCCAATCTTCCGTAATGCAAAGATTGCAATGATAGTCCAATGAAGAGAACCATTCCCACCTAGGTTTCCTTGGATATCAGTTCTTATTCATCCAGATAAAAATCTAAGCTATGAAAGGTGGCAAGAGTGTAGCGGGCACTTACGTATGTGAAGACAAGGGCAGTATCATCCCAGCCAAATGATCCTTTAATAAGTCTGGTGCGTACAAGAAGGCGGAGACCAACAGTGATCGTGTTGAGTATGGTGAAGAACACGAATAATCCAACCAACTGATCGTACCAACTCATGGTGAACGCAAATGCAGAAGTAATGAGGACGTTTCTTGGCAACAAGGAAGACCGCTGATATAAGGGGTTTAGACGCGTCTGGGCTGCTTTTAATGGTACAATTAATTTTATAGGGCCTGACTGATTTGGATGAGGTTTGTACAGGGCGGCGCGTCAATGATCAGAGCGAGGGCAATAAATATCTATATATCGTGAGCTAGTTCGGGCAAAAATTAGCACAACATTCAATGATTAGTTTTCTCGCATATTGCGGCCGCATTATTGGCTTTCTGAATCTTGTTGGCTACTAAGAGTGCCCGGAAGAGGCGTGGGGGAACGCCGACCGGTGCGTATTACACGACATATTTGCGTGGCTTGGTGATTGTACACCAAACCATCCTGTCAAATGACAGCATTAGAAGAGGCTGAAAACATGCCACACTATCGGGTAGGATGTCGCCTCTAACTGGCCACACCACCAGAGCTGTTGGATGGCAGCAGCAAATGGTCAAAATCTTAAAGGTATTTGTTTGATTTGGCAAGGATAAGTCGCTTGTTCTCTGCAATTAACACAGGTGCCTCAATTTACTAATGGTCAAAGACATTGCGCGCCACCCTAAGTGTAATGAAGCTGTCGACAGACTTAAAAAAAAAGGCACCAATACACCAGACCCCCAATCACCCATGGACTGCGGGTCAATCCACGATACCTTGATCAGGCCATCACAGCTGCAGATTAATATTAGGTAATTCGATTTCAGCTGCTACATACCGAGATAGTTCACCGCGCAAGAACCAGGTGCGTGAGCTGTCCCACCAGCGGGATGCACAGCATTTTGAAGGATGCGATAGTGACAGTCCACAGACCTATCATGTAGTTGCATTTCTACTGTATGCATGTCCACATTCAGCCGCATTCTTTCGGGGGTGACGGGATAGGCTCGCAGCATCAGGCTGCACCTCCGCCTACTCAGCCAAATCTGCACCTTTCACAGTTTCAGGCTTCTTCAAATCGTCCATCCCGCTACACGAGAATAGAACTGCCTTTTCTCCATGGATTTAGACCCGCTCTAAGCACGAGTTGAGGATACATATAGAAGGCTGCGCCCAAGGGCGGCCGCTTCAGCATCATGGGGGGGAACGGCACACACTCCCTTGATAACAAACGAAATTAGAGGCCACCTTGAGCCGATATCGAAGCAAGTTGTGCCTAGGTATGTTTGCATCCCTTAGTGGCGAAATGGTGAGCTACAGGAATAGAATTGAGAGGATAGCCTGGGTATGCACTCCCAGTGGCTGGCAGGCTCAATATCAAATGATTCAAATTCAATCTCGGACTTCGCATGCGCACACGACTCCGCAGGTGCACCTCATGATGCTGCGCACTCGGTATCGCCCACATGCTCTGCCTCATCCATGTATTCAGTGCAGGGTTAGTGCGTTCGCAGCATACATGCGATGAGCACCAAAGACGTTAAACCAGGCCGGATGTTCCGTTAGCGTCGTGCTGTGGCAAACAACAGATCCTTGTGGTAAGACGCCTAATACCCACAAACAACGATAATCAAAGAGGAAACTGTCCCCGCCTTTCACATTTTAAGTGCTGATTTTGCGGGGCCAAGGCCAATCTGTGAGCTATTCCTGTGCACCTCGAGACGGATAGACGGATCACGATGAGGCCATCATCCAGCGGCTGCGTACGTATCCATGGATGTCCTGTAGGTGTCGAGGAGATCAGGTAGACGCGTTCTAATAAGCAGTCACAGTGCCAAGCACTTTCAGCAAATGTCTTCTACCCCAACTCAACACAGTACAACTCAACACAACAGTCCTACTGGACGCTTCAAGAGTCCTCCATCCATCCGACCTGCATCGTGCAGCCTACCACGGCACTGCAAGTCGGTGATGCTGTGTCCTCTTTGGTCAGCCGAAACTGCTCTTTCGCTATCAAAGGACACGGCCATGCTCCCAGTGCAGGCTTCGCCAACGTTGACGATGGCGTCACGATCGACTTGACTAGCATGAGGAGCGTTGAGCTGTGGGGTGATGGCACCGTTGCTCGAGTTGGCGCAGGGGCAAGCTGGCTGGATGTGTATGCCGTCCTCGACCAGAGCAACAAGGTATATGATCACAAGGAAGCATTTTACTCTTTTGTGGTGTGCATTCTGTGGAGGATGCGCCTCTAACCCTGGTTTCAGACCTAGTCTAAAGTGACTATAAAAGGCGTTATAAGGTTAAAAGGACTATTACTAAGAGACTTAGACTTTAGATAACTTAATTTATACTCTATAGACTAAATTATTATTCCTTTATAGTTATAAACCTAATATATATTAGGTAAATTTCTCCTATTAAAGCTTAAAATAGATAATATAAGATATAACTTATTTTATTTTACCCTTTATAAGTTATTTTATATTACTATAAAAATAGCTTTAACTTTTAATTTAAATATTATTTATAAAGATTTTTATTTATTCCCTAAATAGTATATTTTTCTTAAAGTATACTATTAGTTTAGGTAATATTAAGCTTTTATAAATCTAGATAAACCTAAAAATAAAAGGATAAATATATCTCCTATACCAAAACTATTAGAATAGGCTATTATATATAAAAAAACTCTATAAGATATATTTTAAGGTAGAAAATAGGAATATAAAGCTTACCTTATAAATAATATACTTAAAAATAAAGAAACTAAACCCTTATAAGAATCCTTTATAATAAAAACTCTAAAGGCTACCTATAACTATAAAATATATTAATAGATAGTACTTACCCTTAACTAAATATTAAAAATATTAAAACTTTAAAAAATCTAAAACTAAATCTAAAAGATAATATTAAATAATATTCTATTAATCTATATAATAAAATTAATAAATTTAAGCTTATTCTTAATTTATAAAGTTATTAAAAGATTAAAAATAACCTTACTCCTTTAAAATCTAGTAAGGTTAACACTATATAATAAACTTATATATAATATTTATAGAAAGCTTAAAAACTAATATTAAACGTATCTAATAGTATTAAGACTATAATAAGATCTATTTATAAGTTTATATCTATAAAATACCTAAAATTAATAATTTTTAAAAATAAATAACTTTTTATAAGTAATTTCTATAAATTATATTTAAATAAACTTAAATAAAGTAATACTTTATTATTAAGTAAAATACTTTTAAAAACCTATTAAAATACTTAAAACCTATTTAAAATATTAAATACTTTACTTTATATTAATAGATAGTCTAATTAACCTAAAAACTTACTAATTTTTATTATATTAATTAGAAATATAGTACTAACTTAAACTATAAGGTTAGGAAACTTTAATTTAAGTAATCTAAATAAGAAATTAAATTAAAAAAAGGATTTTAAGTACCCCTATTAAACCTTTAAGTATTTTAAGTACTATAAATAGAATTTAACTAATTATAAAACTCTATAGTATACTTATATAGGGGAAAAGGACCCACTCTTAAATAAAAAAATCTTAAACACCTAATATAAAGAAATTAGGAAGTATTTAAAAAATAGGTTTAAATACCTAATCCCCAAGCTTAAAAAAGTGGGAATATACTTAAAAAAGGCTATATTAACTATAAAAACTAGAAATAACATCCCTTTTTTACTTTATTTAAAAATATTTAAGTTTAAATAGAATTTAACCTCTATTATACCCCTTTTTATATAAGTAATATTAATATTTATATCTATTTTACTATAAATTCTATTTATTTTTAATTTTAATTTATTTAAAGGTACTTTAAATATACTTATTTTAGTTATTAAATATATAATATATATTTCTATTAACCCTTTATAAGTTCCTATTAATAAGGCCTTATTAGGATATATATAACCCTAAATAAAGTACTATATTTATTATATAAAAGTATAGTTTTAAATAATTATAATATAATTTACTTAATTAATTCTATAAAGAGACTAGAATTAGAGAGCTTTTACCTTAATTTAGGAAATAATATTATTAAAGTAAGTACTTTAATCTTTAAGATTAATAATTATAAAATATATTATTTAAAATAAATAATTTATAAAGAATAAGGAAAATATATAAAGAATTTATTATTAAAAATATAATAGTTATAAAAACTTCTATATAAATATAATATTAAAAGTACTTTTATAAAAGGTAGGTATTTAATATTATAAAAGATATAACTTTATATTATAAACTCTTTAAAAGTAATATTATTATAATAAAACTTACTTAAAAATATAATTTAATCTTTATTAAATATAAATTACTCTTTTTTTATTTTAAGTTATTATTATTATTAAAAGTAAGGTTAGAATAGTAAACTATTTAGTATTTATTATAATATAAAAATACCCTTTTACCCTTTTAAGATAAACCTTTAAAATATAAAATTCTATTTAACTTTAGTATTTATATTTAGGTTACCTAAAAGTATAAGCTTTAAAGACTTTTATTAAATAAAGTAAAGGTATAAAAATCTTTAAAATTAAGTAGATTAATTATAAGGTTTGCTTTAAAGTACTTATTATAAGGTATATATAAAAGTTTTATTAGAAAATAAAAGTTTAAAACCTTTTTAAAGTTTTTAGAATTTATTTATATATAATTAAGCCTTAAATAAAACTTTATTTATTTTTATTATTTATAATAAATATAGTAAAAGCTTTTATTTACTTTTTATATTAAAATTTTAAGAAAGGGTATTTAAAGTAATATAATGCTTTAAAGTATATATTAGAAGGTAATTTAGTCTTATAATCTATAAAATATAGTAGGATATTAAGGCTATAATTATTAACTAATTTATAAATATTAATTACATTAAATAAACTAAATAAATTAATATTAATTTTAAAATTACCCTTTTAAGGATATTAGAAGTAAATAAAGGAAGGAAAAGAGTTAGAAAGGCTCTAATTAAGAAAACCCTTACTCTTTTATTTAAAGTAAACTTTTTATTAAAGTTATAATTAGAGACTATATTAACTATAGTTTTATTATATAA